AAAGATATAGCTCAGTGGCATAAACACCTTCAGGGAAAGCACAAGGTCCTGAATTCTCTATCAGTACCACTAAATAGATAGATAGATAGATAGATAGATAGATAGATAGATAGATAGATAGATGATAGATAGATAGATAGATAGATAGATAGATAGATAGATAGATTACCGTACAAGTTGTGGTTGACATATTGTGTCAATTTGAGAAGATAAAAGCTTAACTGAGTCAGTTCAGCAATCCCACACCCTAGGGCGTGGAGGCAGAGGAGAAGTCTTTGGTCTGCTCCAAAGGAGTTTTCCTTGTGGACTCCACTGACAAAAATATTTTCAAATCAGTAATCAGATCCAGTCTTCATACCAGTTCTTCAGTGAGGAGCCCTGGAAATGGCATCAAACTAAAGAGTAAAAGATGACACAAACTGAACCCTCCGCAGAATTTGCTCGAGCTACTTCTAAGCTCAAATTCGTCATGCGAATTCTAACATGCAGCCTCCCTCTTCAATAATTAGATTGCCATTTGTCATCAAGGAATAATAAATTCTGGGAAATGTTTCCTGTATATATTTTCCTTCATCTTATCTACTAAGACCTTGTATGTTGTCTTGGTTATTTTTTACTTGTTGCTGGGACAAAATACACAACATCCAGAATTAAGGAAGGAAAGGTTTATTTAGCTCACAGTTGTGGAGGTTTCGGTCCGTACTCAGCTGGCTCCCAGGCAGAGTGGCACATGACAGAGGGCAGCAGTTCATGGTGGTAGGAAACAGCATAGAGCAAAGGGAAGGAGAGCAGCTGCGGCTTCTAGCCAGCCTCTCCCTTCCACCAGCCTCTCCCTTCCACGCTGACTGCAGACTGGCGCTCCTCGAGTGCCACTTCCTTCTTCAGGTCCCTTTTATATCCTTCAAGTGCTGAATCACTCTAGGGTGGGCCCTCCACGCCTCTCACCAGCAGCAGGCACCATGCAAGGGACAGGGGGAATGGCTTTATGGTTCTCAGCCCCAGCCTGTGAGTGACCAGATGGTCACTGCTGACGTCTTCTCTTGGATGCTTCTGGTCTTGACTACCCTGGGGGAAATGTCTGCAGATAAAACTCAATAACAAAGAGGTCAACTTTGCTTTTTGAGTCAGCTTTACTTTTCAAAAATTTCCAGACAAATCTTTGACTTTCTTTTCTTCAAGAGTACTAGAAATTGAATCAATGGCCTCGAAACTGCTAGGCAATACCCTGCCATTGGCTACATCCTCAGCTCTTTCTTATGTTTAGTTTTTCTTGAGGGTCTTGCTAAGTTTGTCTAGACGGAGTTCAAATCTGAAATCCTCCTGCCTCAGTCTCCTAAGTAATTGAGATTAAAGGTGTGTGCCATAGGGGGCCAGGGAGATGGCTCAGTGGAATAAGCACTTCCCTGGAAAGTGCAAGGGCTTGAGTTCAATCCCTGGTTCCACCAAAAAAAAAAAAAAAAAAAAAAGGTGTGTGCCACTGACTAGGTTTTCTTTTTGTGGAGGACCATCTGGGCAATTCTCCATGAAAGAGGAGCAATTGTTTCCATTTTGGCTAAGCCTGGCCCTATTTCCACGTATTGATATGTACAGAGCTGGTGAGAACTTTTTCCTTATCCCTTTAATTGGTCTTAAGCAACGCATATTGGTCTAGCTGAGGTGCTAGTGGTGGTCCTTGAAGACAACAGCCACAGATAGGTTTCCCTGGAACCCCCAACCCGCTGTTCCCTTGTGTGAGCCAGGTCAAGATGGGATGAAGAGCCAGTGTTCCACACTGTGACCTGGGATGGAGCCTCAAGATGTGGGGCTGACTTCCTGGGGCTTAAAAAATTACACATCAGAGCCAAAGCACTGACCCCAAAACATTAGATCATACCTCAGTTGTGTAACACGGATTGCTCTTTCCACATACCCTCTCTCTGCATGTTGAAGAGGTGAATGCAGGCCTCCTCCCTAGCCCTGTTTATGCACTCACGTACTTCCACTATTCTCACAATCACTTGTCCTCAAGCAACTCCTTTCTTCATGAATGAATAAAGCCCAGGTTTGGCCTTGGGTTAAAGCCTTTGTTCCAGATAGGCATGACTTAGGACCCCTTGGTTCCCTGTAACTACAAACATGCCTTAGTGTCTTTATTCTCGCCATGGGTTGCACTAGGTATGGTAGATTAGAATTAACTTCATGGGATTCCACTAATTTATACATGGGATTACAAATAGAAACTTCTCAGACCAAGACAAAGACCAGGAAGGGCTCTCTACATCTTTATTTTTATTTTTTTTATGATACAGGGTTTAGCTACATAGTTCAGACTCATAGTGATCCTCCTGTCTCAGCCCCCCCAGTGCTGGGATTATAGGTGTGCCCCACCAGGCCCAGTTCTGGCCCACCAGGCCAGCAAGGTGCACCCAGAAATGTGGGTGGCATGACGTGGTACCAGGGATTGAACTCAGGACCTTGCACTTGCCAGACAGGCACTTATGCTGCTGAACTATCTCCCCAGTCCAATGTGTCTTTTAATTAAACATTTTTTTTTGAGCCAGGGTCTCTCCATGTCATTCAAGCTGGCCTCAAACTCCTCCAGTAGCCCAGGCTGGTCTCCCAAATGCTGGGATTACAGGTGGGGCCAGCCACCATGCCTGGCTTAATTAAACATTTTGAGATAACTAAAAATTCCCATGCAGTGATGAGAAATAATAGAGATCCCATGCAGGCTTGTGCCCAATTTCTACTACTAACAAAATTGCACATAACTACATATAATGCAGTGTCATTACTGACATTGCTATAGCTTCAATGCAGAATACTGCAGCCCAGTTGTCCCCCTACTGCCTTTCTTTTTTTTTTTGGCCGAACCAGGGACTGAACTCAGACCCTTGCGCTTGCCAGGGAAGTGCTTATTCCACTGAGTCATCTCCCTGGCCCCAAAAGTGTCAGGCGCTCTACTGCCTTTCCATAGGAACTCCCATCCTCTTCCTCTCTGAAGCCACCTTTATGCCCCCCTCACTCCCCATAATGTTTCCATTTCCAGAAGGTAAGCAGAACCGCAGCTTGCTTTGATCCATCTGGAACCCCTCCTCACAGGTGCTCCAAGCTTGGCCCCAGCCTGGGGGAAAGGAGTTAGGTTCCAGGGGCACCCCTCAAGGGGGTACAGGACCCTGCCCCTTCCTTTCTTTGGTCCCCAGATGCCCTGCAGTGACTCCCTTCCTCTGCTACTGGCTTCTACCACGATTTTAGGGCTCATCCCAAGCCAAGAGCAATGGGGCCAAGCATGCGGCCTGGAACCCGCTGACCCTGGAGCCAAAACAACTCTTTCTACCCATAGGCTTGATGACCTCAGGCATTTTGAGCCAGCAGGAACATTTGGAAAGTGGCCTTTTGTACTTACTTAATTTCCTGGATATTCATCCAATAGATTTAGGGTTTTTTTTTTTTTTTTTTTTTAATTTTTGTTTTTAAGAAAAATAAAGTCAATTTATCCTTCTGATGATACCATCATAACTCTGTAGTCTTATTCAAGGAATAGCAGTACATTCTTCTGGGGGCTAGTAATCCTTTTTTTTTTTTTTTTTTGGTGGAACCGGGGATTGAACTCAGGTCCTTGCGCTTGCCAGGGAAGCGCTTATTCCACTGAGCCATCTCCCCGGCCCCAATCCTATATTAATCATACAGAACCTTAAGATTTTCAAATTGTTAAGATGAGACTCTGTGTGTGTGTGTGTGTGTGTGTGTGTGTGTGTTTCTAGAAACTGAACTCAATACCTTCACACTCAGCTACATCTGAAGCTGATTTCTTATTTTGGAGACCAAGTCTCACTAAATTAAACTTGCATTCCTCCTGCCTCAGCCTCTCAGACTGCTGAGATGACAGCGCTGTGCCTCGCCTGGCTGAAGCTGTCTCCCTTCCAAGAGCTGGTGAGCCAACCAGGAGAGTCAAGGGGTGGGTTAGCATTTTATATTCTACATCTACATTTTCACTCCAATAAAGCTGAATGCAAGGGCCCCAGCAAAGGAACAGTTCATCACTAGTTATATTTTAGCTTAATTCTTTTATCTTAAATGCAAAACTTTTAAGAAAAATAGTGGATATTTCCATGGGGGATATAAAAGAGCTATAGAGCCATGCTGGTGAGATAGCTCAGCAGACTAAGCACCTGCTTAGCAATGCAGGGACCCAGGTTCAATCTCCAGCACCACATGCAGCTCTGGCCCCACCCCTGGGTGCACTGAGCCGGCCACTAAGACTGGGAGTGGTGGCACATGCCTGTAATCCCAGTGCTGGGGAGGCTGAAAACAGGAGGATCACTATGAGTTTGAGCTACACAGTGAGACCCTGAACAAAATACATTAAGAAAAAAAAGAACTATGGACCCACAAACTTAGGAGTTTCTTGCTTTTGCTTTTTGTGGTGCTGCAGATCATACCCAGGGCTCTGTGAATCCAGGCAAGGGCTTCATCACACCACCTAACCCTGAGGTCCCTCCACTAATTTCTTTAAAAATATTTTCAGCTTGTTATTTTTTACATCGCATTGCTTTAATGAGCAGAATGGTTACAGGGTAACTTGATCAGTTCTTACGGTGACTGTGACAGGAAGTTATTCTCCCTCCTCTAGAGGTAAAATTTGGTGACATTAGTAACTTAGCCACATCACCTAGTGAAGCATGGGGAGAGGACTCGGGGGGCGGCCTGAGACTGTACAGTCCCTTGCATCTGTGGAAGCCCTGCACGCCACGCTAGGACAAAGGGACTGACTCCCCATTGGTTCTTCATATAATAAACTATCTTTATTACCCCAGGTGTACCAAACCATTGCAAAAGAACAGGTAAGACAAAAGAACAAATAAGTTCTGAAATTTTTACATACCAACTACCAGAGTGACAATTTTTAAAAGAACGCTTTGTTTTGTTTGAGACCAGGTCACTCTATGTAATTCAGGCTGGCCTTGAACTCACTATGTAGCCTGAGCTGGCCTCCAAGACATGATTCTCCTGCTTCAGCCTCCCAAGTGCTGGGATTACAGGTGTGCGTCACCACACCCCGCAGAAGAACATTTAAAGTCACCTGGTTTAAGAAAGTAAAACTCAACATACTCCTAGTTCACGCTGACAGCAAACATATCCACGACACGGAGTCAACAATGCCGTCCCCTAAATATTAGCTCATGATACCGTTACGAAGGCTTCGAAGGAAAATCCTCCCCCGATGAATTCTGAATTCCATACTTTTCAATCAGTTCTTTTGTTTTAGAAATATAGGCAATCATGGCATCTTCCTTGGACAACCCTAGAGAGACACAAGCAGATCATTTCAGAGTGGTGCAGTGAGAGATTCGGGTTTGTTCGATTCTGGTTTAAGAATTTAAAAACCTTTTTGGAGGTTCCATGCTTCCCACTTGGCCTTTCCTTTTAAATCTAGCATTGCAGGACACGCTGCCAAGAGAAAGAAGGAGAGATTTTCAAGTTCGCTTTTATTGGGCACTCTGTCAGTACTGTTCAAACCAAGTATATTATTGTCTTTTAAAATGCTGGTGTAGTTACCAATGTTGATGTCCCCTATGACAACCTGTTTGTAGAGCCCGTAGAGTTTTTTCAGTTCCTCATCCTCTGGTCTTGATTTCAGCTTCCTCACCTCTGCTGTGGCCTTATCGAAGTCAGCCTAATGCAGAAACAAAAACAAAACACGCAGCGTGTGTGTGGTAATGCTGCGCAGGCCTGGTACAGGTGTGGGTGCTTCAGGGAAGGGGAACCAGACAGAAATAAATAACTGTTGGGGCTGGGTTCAGCAGCTTAGGTGACGGCCTGGCAAGCTCAAGGTCCTGAGTCCAATCCCCAGTACCACCAAAAAAAGATAAATAAATAGATAACTGTTGGGCAAGGTGGTAAATGCCTGGAATCCTAGATCTCTGGGAGGCTGAGGCAGGAGGATCCTGAGTTCAGGGCCAGCCTGAGCTACTGTGTTGGTTGATACATTGTGCCAACTTGGCTGAATCAGCTCCGGCAGTTCTCAGTGTGGGGACCTAGTCCTGTGGGTGGGCAGGGCCCAGGAACTGAGAAAGGCTTCCTGCCACCCTGCCTGCTTTCCTGCGCCCTGCCCTGCTTCCATGGAGAAGTCCCAGTCTTCAGAAGAGGAGCTTGATCTTTGCATCAGCTTCACCAATCTTGGAAGTCAGCGTAGAAGGAAGAGAGAGGCTTGATGGAAGCCGCAGCTGCCGCTCCTCCTCTGCTCTTCATTGTTTTCTGATGCATGAACTGCTGTCATTTGCCTTGGAGCCAGCGGAATATGGACTGAACCCTCCAGTTACTGTGAGCTAAATAAACCTTCCCTTCCTTCATTTTGAGTGTCACGAGTAAAAAGTAACTAAGACAGGGCTGGTGAGATGGCTCAGTGGTCTAAAGCACCTACTTAGAACAAGCTTAGCAAAGCACAGGGACCACGGTTCAATCCCCCAGCACCACATGCCAGCCAGCCCCGCCCCCTGGTGGGCTGAGCTGGCCACACACACATAAATAAATAAATTAAATTAAAAAAAAAAGTAACTAAGACAGCTATATAGTAATTTAGTGAGGTACTGTTTCAAAATATAAATTTTTAAAAAGGGGCTGGGGAGTAGCTCCATGCAAAGGTCTTGAATTCTATCCCTAGTACTGAAAAAGAAAAAAGAAAAAGATAAAAGATGGGAAGGGAAGAGAAGGGCAGGGAAAGACAAGGAAATAAACCTCTGATACCCTGGATCCACCAGAATCACCCTGACTTACCTAAACTCGTGGATCTTCTTTCCTGACATTCACCTGACATATATGAAGAGCTATACTGAAAATGTTGAGTGGACCCATTCTTAAAGGGCACTGCCCTCAACGCAGTTGTGTGGCTCACCTGGCCGGCACAGCCCTCCTGGGCTTCGCTCCCTCTGCGCTGAAGGAGCGGACCACCCCTGGTCTCCCTCCCACGGCCCTCATCAGCAGGCACCTCTGCTCAATGCACTAGCTAGTTCTTGAAGGAAATTGACATTGTTGAGTTAGTTGAATTGCTGTATAGATTCATTTGAGCACCAACAACAAAAGTTACAACTGATTTTCAGAAAAGAGTTGTTTAGCTAGGTTAGAGTTGATGGGCCAAAACCAGAAGACAAAAATACTTGAGTAGGAAACAGCCCTATTTTGCGCTGACCCTGAATACCTGACCTCCCTGACCTGCAGCTTTGCATCACTGTAACAAATCCAAGAGGTAAATCAACTTAGAAAGCAGAAAGGTTCACAGTGTAGGTGGTTCCTGTCCTGGTGCACTGGCTGCAGCAGTGTGTGGGAAGCAAGAGATTGGAGGAAGCAGGGCAGGGGTCCCACAGTGACTCAAAGACCTTTCAGAGATCCTAGCTTCTAAGGTTGTCACCACTTCCAATGGCGGCGAATGGTACTCACCTCCAAAGTTTTAGCAGTGGACCCTGAGAACATCCCAGATCAGCCCTCAGCAGTCCCCAGCTTTCCCAACTCAGGATTCAGCTCAAGGCTGTTCCCTCAAGTGAGGTCTGCGCTGGGGACAGCGCTAGCTCTGCCTCTGCCACAGCCTGGGTGTGCTAGATCCCTCAGCCCTCTCCCTCGCCAACCTCTCAGCTGACACCATACAAAGGGCTTGGTGATTCTAAGACTTCCTTATTATGAACTGCATTTTACCTTGTGATGCTTGTTTTAAATTGGGTATAAGCAGGAATTATCAGTGGCCTGGGGATCATAAGGGAAGCTCACTGAGGCCTTCTGGACCCATCTGGACGCTGTATTTCTTTCTCTAGTGCAGGAGCTTTTCTTGAGCCAAAGGATCAGGAGAGACAGAAAAGAGCCACTCTGTGACCTCAGAAGTGATAGTCCCCACAGAGCTGCCCAGAGTTTCCAACTACACCAAAGATGAGAGAGTAGCACAGTGGGGTGACTGTTTTGTGACTGGAGGCAGTCATTAAGCTCGGCAGCCTTTAAAACAGCCTGCCTCCTAATGGGCTCCTAGAGAAGCCCAAGAATGTGTGCGTCGGGAGAAAGCACACTGCATCTCTGTGCTGCCGCACCGCCAAGGGTAGGACACCGGCTCTGTTTGATTCTCAGTTTCATCATTTAAGGTCACTCAGTGACCTTGAGCTCAACCCCTAACCTCTCTGTGTTTGTCTCTCCACCTAGATTATAAGACAACAACACTTACTCTCAAGGTTGCTAGATGGATTTAAACAAGTCTACAGATGGAAAGTACTTAAAATAGTGCTTGGCATATGGACAGCATTCAGTGAATGCTGGTGGCTCTTATTGTTCTGGTAAGGCTCCTGGGAAAGGAAACTAAGTCTAGAAAAAAACCTGAACATACCCTCAAGAAGCAGCGTACAGAAGCAGCAAAACAGTGTGTAGGTTAAGAAGGTTACACAGAAGACAGGCTAGAAATAGGTAAACAGTACTTGCCTCTGATTATTGGTAATTCTCTGGCTTTAAATACTTCTACGCCCTCTAGATTTTTCTAGAATGTGCATGTTCTGTTTCTAATAATGCTGCAAAGGCGGCAGAGCTGCCTCAGGTAAGGCAGTGTTATGGTTTGTGTCTAGTTGTCCCCCTACAGCCTCATGCAGTTATGGGGCGGACTTCTGGAGTTTGTGATTAACTCAGGATCCAGTGCTGGGATTATGGGTGTGAGTGCTGCTAGGATTATGGGTGTGAGTGCTACACCCAGCCTGGGGCAGAAAGCCTGAATGCAACATAAGGGAGACAGACTTGCTTTCTGCTGCCATTTTGTTGCTACTATTCCTCCCTTTTGCTCTTGCTGTTTTGCTATTTCCACCACCATGAACGGCTGCCCTCTGCCATGTGCCCGTCTGCCTTGGAGCCCCCTGAGTATGGGCTGAAACCTTCACAAACTGTGAGCTCAATCTTTCCTTCCTTAATTTTGGGTGTTGGGCATTTTGGCCCAAGAATGAGAGAAGAGTAACCAAGACAGGCGGGCTGGCGCCCTCCACCCATCTCTCAGCACTCCAGGGGGCCCTGTCTGCTGGAAAGGCTCCAGCTCTTCTCCAGTGACACCACTCAATGCCTTGGTCCAGCTGAAACCTGAGCATATTCTAAGGTTGCTGCAAAAACATGTGAGCTCCTGCTTTCCAGGAAAGAGTTCCTGAAACATCATTCTTCACATTTTGGGTGTGACAAGAGCCAAAATGAGCTCTGATGAAAGCCTTGGACTCTGTGCACAGAGGTGCTCAGCCCTGACACGGCGTCCCCACCAGGTGGGCAGCCCTGGCTCCTCCTCCCTACTCCATCGCCGGGCACGGATCATATTCCTCGGCAGTACCCAGCACCCTCTGTCCAGTTTCCTTCCCAAGCACCCTGACTTGACACACTCCTGCTTCAGGATGCTTTCCCGAGGTCCGCTTCAGCACGAGGTCTCTCCCTCCCCAACTACAGTGAGCTGTGGTAGAAAGAACACAGGCCTCTCATGGGAGCATATGGGTTAGAATTCCAGCTGTGAGGCATACACTGCTGTGGAACTCCAAGCTGGGAATCAAGCTCCTCTGAGATAATGTTTTCATGTGTTCGTGCTGATGGGACACCACATGTGGAAAAGCCCACACACCTGCTATCATGGGCACAAACACAGGTGTACTAAAGATGCTGATGCACAAAATCACCTGCAGGCTCTTTGCAAATGGTGTGCACATAGATATCATGTTTAGACATGGGTCCCATGCCTAGGATATTTATTATATATATGCAAATATCTATTCCCTATCCAAAAACATCCTAATCTGAAACACTGGTTCTATATATTTTAGACAAGGAACATTCAACCTGTATCTGTCTTCAACGGAAAAATGTTGGGAGTAGATACAATTAAGAATGTACTGGGGCTGGTGAGATGGCTCAGTGGTCTAAAGCACCTACTTAGAACAAGCTTAGCAAAGCACAGGGGCCGCAGTTCAATCCCCCAGCACCACATGCCAGCCAGCCCCGCCTCTGGTGGGCTGAGCTGGCCACACACATACACACATAAATAAATAAATAAATAAATAAATAAATAAAAATTAAAAAAAAAAAAACCTTAAAAAAAAAAAGAATGTACTTTAGGAGCCAGGGAGATGGCTCAGTAGAATAAGCGTTTTCGGGCTGGAGAGATGGCTCAGTGGTCTAAAGCACCTACTTGAAACAAGCTTGGCAAAGCACAAGGACCACGGTTCAATCCTCCAGCACCACATGCCAGCCAGCCCCGCACCCTGGTGGGCTGAGCTGGCCACACACATACACACATAAATAAATAAATAAATAAATAAATAAATAAATAAAAAAAAAAAAAAAAAAAAAACCTTAAAAAAAAAAAGAATGTACTTTAGGAGCCAGGGAGATGGCTCAGTAGAATAAGCGTTTTCGGGCTGGAGAGATGGCTCAGTGGTCTAAAGCACCTACTTGGAACAAGCTTGCCAAAGCACAGGGAACGCGGTTCGATCCCCCAGCACCACATGCCAGCCAGTCCCGCCCCCTGGTGGGCTGAGCTGGCCACACACACAATAAATAAATGTATAAATAAATAATTATAAAAAAAAAAAAAAAAAAAAAAAGAAAAAGCGTTTTCCTGGCAAGTGCAAGGGCCTGAGTTCCATCCCTGGTTCTGCAAGAAAAAAAAAAAAATTTGCACTTTAAAAAAAAAATTAGTTTAGTTTTCTTAGAGCTCAACATAGGTAACCCACCTACATACACAACACAAATCAATGATGGACAGGCCCGTGCTAGGCAGACAGGGACCCTCAGGGCAGTCGCTCCAGCTCCAGTCAGCAGGGATCTGTGAAACTTGGTGAAATTGGGAGCTGCCACTGTGAGAGAACAGAGGAGGGGGTGGGGCAGAAAGGAGCCTCTTTCCAAGCCAGAGAGGGTGCCTAGCTGGGCCTAGGGGGAGGACAAACAAATGCTGCTTCAGGCAGCCAGAATCACACTGCAGGGTTCCTAGGCTCCATGACAGGGCAGCCGTAAGTGTTCCCTGGCCAGCTCTGGCCAGCTCCACAGACTGCTGGTAGATGGTGTGAGCCACTGAGCCTGGTGGATACCTCTGCAGGGTGGATTAGTGAGTGGGTGGATATCAGAAGGATCAGAAAGTTAGCACTGGTGAGATGCAGCTTTCAATGTTCGGCTGCTTCCGATTAATAGAAGCATCTGGAGAAGAAAGGATGCCTGGGAAGCTTCCTGTGCTGCTGGGGAGCAGGACACACTGCTTTGGTGAGGAATTTCATTTCTGACCAGAAGATTCTCAGGGCTGAGTGCTCAGCATCAGACAAATGTCGGTGCACCTGGTCTCCCTCTCAGAGGCTGCAAAACAACCTGCCGTAAGTTGCAAGGGCCTCTCTCAGGGCCTTGGCTTGTGTGCTTTCTCCATGAGGTCCCTGGATCCATCCTCACCAGCAGTGACAGCCTCCCCAGGGAGTATCCTGCCTTCCCCATGCCTACCAGCACCCCTGGGGATGCCCTTCTCAGTTTCACTCCACCAGAGACAGCTCTAACATGACTCACACTCCATCCAGCTTTGCTTTCTGTAGCCAAAGGACATGCTTAGCCCCTGCACAACTTAGCAAAGTTGTTTTGAGCTGTTCTTTATCATTGAGGAACTGAATTAAGGTTAAAAAAAATGTTCACAGTTGAACTACTGCACAGATCTTAACTACTCAAGCATGTAGGGAAAGGGGGCGGGAGACTTATTTACTTGCCAGAAAACTAAAAATGCAAAACGTGCATTGCCTTAAAACTTTTCATTAGTATTATTTATTTATTTATTTTATTTAATTTATTTATTTATTTATTTTTTGCAGAACCGGGGATTGAACTCAGGCCCTTGTGCTTGCCAGGGAAGCGCTTATTCGATTGAGCCATCTCCCCGGCAATTAGTATTTTTTTTAAACTTTTATTTTGAAATGATGTTAGAGGGGCTGGGGAAAAGGCTCAGTAGGATAAGCGCTTGACTGGCAAACTCAAGGATCTGAGTTCAATCCCCGGTCCCCCCCCCCAAAAAAAAGAAACGATGTTAAGAGTCAGATAATAGTTACAAAACTAGCACATTTTAAGTCCCAGCATACTCTGTCATTTTTTAAAAAAGATCTTTTGCTCCAATACTCAGATGGATTGCTGGTAGGTAACATTAGGCTGAATGCTATTTTTAAAAACACTGTAAGCTTTCTACCCTCATGATTCCTGTTTTTCTTTAACTGCGTTTTTGAGGCTGTCATAACTACGGTACTTGATATTAATACCACTCAGCCTACTGCTCTCTTGTGATGTTCCTCAATCTTTAAATCCTTACTGAAAATATTTTTAAAGCAAAACCAAAACAAATTGAACAACTAGAGAAGGCAACAACAGTAACAACAGCAGCAAAACCAAAGAAATAAGCTGAACAGGAACCATTTAGATTTTTAGCTTTGAAGACAATCTTGATTATTTTAGGCAAAGTTTGATAAGAATTGTGTAAAAAACGAAAAAAAGGGGCCAGAGAGATGGCTCAGTAGAATAAGCGCTTGCCTGGCAAGCACAAGGGCCTGAGTTCAATCCCTGGTGAGAGAGAGAGAGAGAGAGAGAGAGAGAGAGAGAGAGAGAGGAAAAGAAAAAAGAAAAAACAAAAACCGAGAAAAAAGATATCTCAGTGGCTCAACAGCTTTAGCCTTGCTGGACCTGTGCCAGGCATTGCTTTGCACACTCCACCCGGGTAGGGTAACAGTGTTAGGTGAGAAGGCCAAAGTGAGGAGAGTTCAAATAACTGTCACAGGCAAGGGGACGGCAAGGCCTGGGTGAGGGTCCTCGACCCGAGTGAAATCACCTGCTCGCTAAATAAGTTACCCACACTCATTTCATAAAATGTAAAATTACATTTCAAGGCAATCCTTAATAAGAAGATGCTCCTAGGACGCTGTTAAGTACAGGAACAAAACTGCAAACTTGTAAGACGGCAGCTGTGTTACACGCATGCACACACACGTGCCCGGATCATCACACGCACAGGCACAAGGACGCAGAGGAAGCGCTCTGTTACTAGTGGTTACCGCCTGGGTGGAGGAACTCCTGATGTTTTTTATTTATATTTGTTCTCTTTCCCGAAGTTTTTTCACTTCGAAAATTTCGAAGGAACAGTGCTTTTGCCCCCTGAGTCTCAGGAATCGGCGACCGTTCAGGACGGCCTCAGACTGTGCGCCCGCGGGACTCCGCCAGCCGAGTAGCCCTCCTCGCAGAGGTGAGCCCGCCCCGGGCCTGAGGGCTCTGCGGGGGCCCGGCTCCTACCAGCGCGTAAACGGCGCCCCTCTGCAGCGCGTACCCGCCCCCGTTACCTGCAGCGACATGTCGACCGGACGACACCTGCGATCCCCTGCGCTCTGGCAGCCACCGCCCTTGGGGCCTCTCTTTAAAGGGCCGCGGTCCTCCGCCGGCCGCTCCCATTGGCTACGCTCCGGACCCGGCGGCTCTCATTGGCCGAGGGGGGGGCTTGGACGAAGGCGTGGAAACAAATGGGACAGTGAGCGCTGAGGTCCTGAGCTCAAGGTCCTCCTGCTCCCTGATAGCTCCACTCGCTGGTATTAATGTAACAGGAGCAGTGACACTCAGATGTCGGAACCTTAGCGGTAGATGCTGCGGCACCTTGTTCCAAAATCTTGTTTAAATACGGATAAATTGCAAGGATGCATATCTATGTAAAATTAGAAGAGCAAAAGGCTCATCTATGAACCTAACATATGAGCCAGTTTAGCAAAACTCTACCTTTAGGCTTTGAGACCCTTGTGTAGTTCTTTGGGTTTTTTGTTTTGTTTTCTGAGACAAAAAGAGACAGGCTAAAAAAAAAAAAAAAAAAAAAAAAAAAAAAAAAAAAAAAAAAAAAAAAAAAAAAGAGAGAGACAGGCTCTTGCTGCATAGTCCGCACTGGCCTCAAGCTGGAGACCCTCCTGCCTCAGCACCCAGAGTTCTGATGCACGCCTTCTCAGTCTCCTGATTCCCTTTCACCTTGTCTTGCACATTCATTCTTTCAAGTATTTGTTGAGAGCCTACTGTGAGCAAGCACTATTCACTGCATCAAGTGTAAGAAGAACACCTTAGGGAGGCTGGCCGGACAGCTCAGCGGACTAAAACGCTTGCTTAGGCAGGTACAGCGGCCAGGGTTCAACCCCTGGGGTGCCCTGCCGGCCTCGACCCCGGGGCTTGCTGAGATGACAACTGAGACTGGGGGTGGCGACGCGCCCCTATTACTTGGGAGGCTGAAAAACAGGAGGATCACTACAAGTCCCGTCTGTGTAGTGAGACCCTGTACACCCTGTACTAAAATACATTAAGAAAAAAAAAAGTGCAGCTTTACGACCTCCAGTTTTCTTCCTTCTCCTCATCTGGTCATCATCTTCTTCATTGTCTTCTTTTTTTTATCTTTGTTCCTCCCCTCCTCCTCCTTCTTGCACTGAGGATTGAACCCAGCAATCCATGAACTATATCCCCACCCTTTTTTATTTTTCTTTTGGTGACAAGGTCTCCCTAAGTTGTCCAGGCTGGCCTTGAACTTGTGGGCTTCCTGCCTTAGCCCTCTATCTGTTATGTGCGCTCCGTGGAATTTCCTTTGGACACACCTGTGAGCAACTGCCTGATAGGTAGAAGATCCTCAGTAAATAATGTTGCACTAACAAAGTCGAATGTTTTCACCTGACTTATACTTACACAGACATATGTACACATTTCTATCTTTAAAGACTTCTCAACTAATTCTGCTTATATTGCTTCCAAAGAGTTTGGTCCATTAAAAACAAAAAAACAAGGGGCCAGTGAGAGAGTTCAGGGGACTGATGTGCCTGCTTAGGCAAGCTTAGGCAAGTTTAGGGACTGAGGTTCAATCAGCCAGCCCCACCCCCAGGGCCGGCTGAGCCCACCAGAGTCCAGGCATGGTGGCCTATACTATAATCTCAGCACTGGGGAGGCTGAAAGCAGGAGGATCACCCACGAGTCCAAGCTGTGTGCTGAGACCCTGAAACAACCAAAAACGTTAATAATAATAATAATAATAATAATAATAATAATAACAATAAAAACAACTATGTGATGGCTCATCTCTATGGTCTCAGCTATATAGGACAGAAGCATTTCTGCAACCTAAAAGTTTGAGGCCAGTCTGTGCAACACAATAAATTTCATCCCAAATTATGTTTTCAAAATTTAGGGTCAGTTAAAGAGCTCAGTGGATTAAAGTGCCTACAAGCAGGCACAGGGGCCTGGGTTTTATTTTATTTTATTTTTTTTTTTTTGTTTTTTTTTGCAGAACAGGGGATTGAACTCAGGCTCTTGCACTTGCCAGGCAAGCACTTATTCTACTGAGCTATCTGCCCAGCCCCAAGGGAGCCTGGAGTTTGATCCCCCAGCCTGGGGGACGAGCTGAGATGGAGATTGAGACTGGGTGTGGTGGCGCACAACTGTAATCCCAGCTCTTGGGAGGCTGTAAACAGGTGAATCACTATGAATCCGATCTAGTAGTGAGACCCTGAACACCCTGTAGGCCCTTTCCTAAAATTAAAAAAAAAAAAAATTTAGGCCTCTTCCCTCCAAACACACACACACACAAAACAAAAACAAAAACCAAACAAAAAAACCTGTGGATCTAAAATTGCTTTTTAAAAAATTCTATTAGAATATTCCAGACTAATCTTATGATCATCTGTTTTGAAATAGTCTTTCAAATTTGTCTTTCAGCAAGGCCCAATTGGAGACTGACTTGAGTTTTGAATACTCTCCAGTACCCCCTGGGCCAAAGATTTTGTGGGCTCATAGAGTGTTTCTCACACGTAGCTGTAGTGTTGATCAAGACTAGGGGTTTCCACCTCCCAAGCCCTCCAGCTAGACATGCACAGCAGGCTGCTGTGTTAAGTCTGTACAACTGCATGTAGAAGTTCAGAGTTGGTTCTTCAGTACTGAGTGACTCCCCACTCACGACACCTATTACCTGACCTCTGGAATTAGGAATGTTGGCTCATGAGATTAAGGGTGTTGGGAGCTGACTGCACATTGGGTTTGGTTTTGCTTTGGTTTGGGTTGAATCCAGTTAGGTTCTTTCTCCTTATAGCCCTTCCCTAGGGAAGCACAGCATTGCCACTGTGCCACTGCCCAGGAGCTGCCTGACCAAAATGCCAACGGTTCCCATCATCTTTATGCACACAGATGTTCCCCGTGCTGTTCATATTCCCAATCAGCAGAGCTTCCAATAGCACAGACCTAAAGCCTATTTTCATTTTACCCCTCATCATTCAAGTCTATTCTTGGCAACTGGCTGAAAACAGTAATTGTTCACATGAAAATTGTCAGTATATATAACAGAGCACATGGAGGGAATGGAGAGAAGAAAAATCTGGTAGACAATTCTACATTCTCCAGACTTTCCTGCTGGAACGTTTATTTATTTTAATAAAGGATTGCATCTAATGACACAGTTTATCATCTGGAATCTTAAGCTGCTTTATATTGTGGCGCAACAGCAAGCAGAAACACTGAAACAACACCCAGGATTTAGAGACAGATTGATTTGTGTTGACTGGCACTTATTGGGACTGTTTCAAACAGTTGCCTGGCACTGATCAGGCCCCAAAGGTGCAGAGAGGGAAGTTTTTACGGGGTTTCAAGCAAGAAGCAGAGTACTTGGTTGTCTTTGACTGCTTTTTACAATATGCAGCATAATGACTGAGCTGAGCATTACAGCGACCAGTTATTTCTAGGAAACACTAGTAATAGGAACTAGTACCTGAGCAAGTAACAAACTGCCTAGGAGGCATTTCCTGCAACAATGGTAAGCATACAAATCTAGTAATCGTCCAACTATAGACTATAAAAAGAAAGCTTTTTATAAGATTTGTAAACTATTCAAAGTTCATACAAGTTAATTCAATGGCCTGATACTTTAAAGTATCTAATAGCTGTCATTTAAAAGTAAAACTGATCATTTGGAATAGAATGTTAAGGTGACCCCTGGAAGACGACGACAAACATGGAAAAATTATGTGGAATGAAACTCAGAACACAAAATTTTATGATTTTTAACTTACACACGTGTGAAACAAATTAGGAGAGAAATGAAACATGTTTAGATCATAAACATGTGACCAGATCATGAATAGTTTTTTCAAACTTTTTTGTTGTAATGTTTGTGTAACATGAATGGGATAGTAATTACCTTTGAAAAGCAGTTGTTCATTTTAGCACAATTTCTGTGGAAATTGTATTGTTAGTCTAAAAATACAAGCACTGAAATCACAGAGTCTATTTAAACTTTATTAGCTTGATTTAGCCAGGATTGTCACTGGACTCATTACAATTGACCAAGCATTTACTATGGTGCCAGACACTTGCTAAGCATCTTAAAGAGATCATCTTTTCTAATCCTCAAAATAGAATCTATTTTTATCCCTTCAGTGGGAAGCTAGGGTCCTAGCTGGCCCGTGATTCAGCTGGGATCTCAACCTGGGCGGCCTGGCTAAAGCCACCTACTATAAGGAATGACAATCTCTAGAGAAAAATGGAAGCTCACACGATGGACATTCTATAAATTTGGGGCTTTAGGGAGAAAACTTGCACAAGTTCCTTTCGCAGTACTCTAGTATTATAATTAGATCAACGCGTCTCTCTTTGTCTTTTGAATGGCATCTCCTTGAACTAATGATTCATTTTATAAAACAAATGCCTGTTGATAAACTGTGTTCTTTTTCGTGTGATAAAAATCACATTCTATTTCGCCCTGTGTAACCTGCAACAATCACTGACCTTAGGTACACGGTAGGTGATGAAAACTGAAAATACAGAAACTAAACGGCAGGGATTTAAGCTCAGTGGAGCAGCGTCTGCCTGGCAAGCATGAGGTCCTGAGTTAAGATCCCCGGCACCCCTCCCTCCAATAAAATTAAATACAGAAACTAGACTCCAAAATGGGAAAGAAAATGATTAGTGCAAAGATTGAAAAAAGGAGAGAACACGAAGTGGAAAAAAGAAGACGCCCAAATTGGATTGGGGAAGTGAAAGGAAGAGCAGGGCGGGGCGGGGCGGGAGAAGCAGCCTTCGGAGTTCAGGGAAGGGTATCAACAGATGAGATTCCTGGCTGTTCAAATGTTATTCGACTGTTTTGCCAATCGAAGACGCCTGCGCGAGGCTCCCGGAGCAGGACGCCGGCGGCAGGCTGACGGAGTACTCCAGCTGCGGTCGCTCTCTGGAAGCACCCCGATTCCCTCGTCTTTCCGAGGGCTCAGGATTCCTACATAATTCCGGAAGTACGTGCTCTACCCAACTTCCTAACTAATCCCTCTCATTTTATTTGATTTTTCACGATGCGCTTGGACTCCGCGTCTCTGGATCGAAACAAGGTTACAACGCTAAGACGCTGTGTAGCACAAACCTAGAAAGAGAAGACCCCGCAGGAGACGCGAGACCAAACCGCGAGAACTGCGAGACCGCAAGCTGTTCCCGTGGTAACCGTAGGTTCTCGCGAGACAGGTCTTGCGCCTGCGCATTAAAGCTTGAATGCTGCCCGAAACTTTGAGCTCCAGTCCTTCACCTAAGGTCCTTAAAGATGGGTCCTTGCCTGCTCGGTGCAACGCTGAGGGCCGACTGCCCCCTTAGGTAAAGACCTAAAGTAGAACAAGGAAACGCGAAGTAATCCGAGTGACTCCGCCCCGTTCAGCGCATTTGGAAGGCGGAGCCGCGAAGTGGAGGCTCTGCGCAAGCGCGGCACACTAGGCGCGGGTCCGGAAGCCGGCGGGGAGCAGGAAACGCTGTAGTGAGTTCAAGCAGCGCACCGGTCGGGCGTCGTGTGGGAGGCGGGGAGGAGACTCCTACGGGCGCGCTCGAGTGTCCGCGGTTCCCGGAATCCTCAAGCGTGGCCGTGGGCCGTAGGCAGTGGGTGGGACAGCCCTGAGTCGGGGCCTAGCCGGCCCTCCCAGGCGCCCCCGCCAGCGGGCCTCTCGGGCCCTCGCGCGGTCGATCGGCGCCTTTAGTACTTGCCGCCAGCCCCTCTTATGTGTTCGATCTTGCAGAGGACATTTTCTTTGCCCGGAATCTGCAAGATTTTCATCTAAATCTGCTTTACACTCTGGCCTCTCCTGTGCTTTAGTTCCCATCGTCTCCCCAGTCCTCTCCTAGCCACATTACACTTCATTTTCTGCAATGCTGTTTCCTGGGGAACCCTTTTTCGTTTCCTATTACCTTTGGTAAGAACTCTTCAAATGTAGGTTGTTAGTTTCCTAAGCATCCTGCAGTAGCTCAACTTTTAATTTGCACCGCATTGTTGTGGTCTTCTATGGACGAGGTCTTTTTGCGTTTTTAATATTTGTGGACAATGCATCTTGGATAATCCATTATTTGCAGAAGAGTTCATGAGGCTATGGGTGGGAAGGTTATTGAGGCAGAGAAGTGGGCCACACATACTTGCATGTGTATCAGGTATTTTAGGAAGGACATACAAGAAACTTAGGGCCAACTAGGGAGGGAAACTTCCAAAAGGAGAGTGAGTTAAGGCATTAATTTTAATCATGTGTAAGACTGGGCGTGGTGGTGCACGCCTGTAATCCCAGCTCTTGGGAGGCTGTAAACAGGCGGATCACTACGAGTCCGATCTAGTAGTGAGACCCTGAAATTTTAATCATGTATAGATTGCTATTTTATATTTGGTACCAGAATGGAATTCATGACCTTGAGCCTCTCAGGCAGGCATTATGCTGCTGGGGTACATACATATTCTCAGCCCGTTTTTATAATCACAGCTGTTAATTACTGTAGAGGTCTCTGGGGTCCTTAAAGTGCTCTCTGGGCCAGCGAGATCTCAGCGGACTAAACACCTGCTCTGGCAAGCGCAGGGACCAGGGTTCGATGCCACACCGGCCCCACCCCCAGGGTGCACTGAGCCAGCAAATGAGTTTTGGTGTGGTGGCGCACGACTGTAATCCCAGCACTGGGGAGGCTGAAAACGGGAGGGTCACCACCACTCTGAGGTGGGTAGTGAGACCCTATACCAAATATAAAAAATGAAAGAAAAATGCAATGTTATATCTAGCTACCCAGTCTTGCTCCCCACAAGCCCCAATAACCAGAATACCATCTGCTGCTAGAGGTGGTCAGAAAGTATTTGCTGAATGAATAATGGAAGCACAGCTAGAGAGCAATCTGTAACTAAAACAGAACTATTTTCCCTGCAGTGCTAGGGACCAAACGTAGGCTTGTATGCATGCCAGGTAAGCTCTCTGTTACCAAGTTACACCAACAGCCCTGAAGTGGAAATTAAGTAAATGAATAGGTAAATAGGATTTCGTTGAGATTGGTTGTAGTAATGTAAAATTTTCCATATTTCCCATATATGAAAAAATATAAATTACATAATTATTTCTTGTTTTCCTTTTTACAGTGCTGGATATATCGATCCCTGGGCTTTGCACTGCTATGTGAGCCCCAAATTACTTAATTTTACTTCTTTTTTAAATGCATTTGATACAGGGTTTCACTATACAGCTCAGACTTGTAATGATCCTCCTGTTTTCAGCCTCCCCAGCACTGGGATTACAGGCAGAGCACCACCAAACACAGACTCAGTGGCCAGGTCAGCCTGCCCGGGGGTGGGGCAGGCATGGCATGCCATGCTGAGGATCAAACCCCACGCCTTACACTTGCCTGCTTAGTCCGGTGAGCTATCTTGCTGGCCCAAATTACTTAATTTTAAAAGGTCAAACATTTGGTTACCTGACTGGGTCTCTATAATTAGGTTTATTATGACTTATAACAAATCTGAGAGACTGCATTTAATTTCTGGCTAACATAAATTTTCCACTGTCATTTTGATTCTCTGAAGGGTTTTCAAAATGGCTGCTGCCCCTCAAGCACCAGGAAGGGGTTCTGTTCGTAAGACCAGGCCTCTGACTGTGAAGACTTCACTGAACAACCCATTCGTCCTCTGCTGGAGCACCCTAGAGAGAGAGGACATGATGTTCATATTACAGACGCTTGAGGACAGGTTCAGATCTGTTGGACTTCAGAAAATAGAGGATAAAAAGAAAAGGAAAAAGCCACTTCTTATAAAAGAGCAAGGTAGAGAAAAATGTGGCCTAGACATTGGTTTGATTGAGGACCTGAAGGAGGAAAAGCCCGATGCTGACCAGCAGGCTTCAGGGTGGACATCTGTGCATGTCAGGAAGCAGCTCGCCCTTGGCGTTAATGAGGTCACCCGGGCCCTGGAGAGGAGTGAGCTGCTCTTGGTGCTCGTGTGCAAGTCAGTCAAGCCTGCCATCATCACCTCACACTTGATCCAGTTAAGTGTAAGCAGATCTGTTCCTGCCTGTCAAGTTCCCCGGCTCAGCGAGAGAATTGCCCCTGTCATTGGCTTAAAATGTGTGCTAGCCTTGGGGTTTAGAAAGGGCACCTCCGACTTTGCAGATGAAGTAAGAGCTATCATTCCCCGAGTGCCAAGCTTAAATGTACCATGGCTTCAAGACAGAATTGAAGATTCTGGCGAAAGCATAGAGATGGAGTTGTTGGAAGACCAAGACAAAGAGATTTTGGATACTTCATTTGAAGACCTCTCAAAGCATAAGAGAAAATTTGCTGAAGGGAAGCTGGGTTCTGCTATAGCATTACAACCACTTAAAATAAAGAAACTAATTCCCAACCCTAACAAGATAAGGAAACCACCTAAAAGTAAAAAAACTATTTTGAAGTAATCTTGGAGAAATCTGACATTTTTATAGAAGCCTTAAAACAAAGTAAGCTACATAAAATTTGCATGTATTGTTGGGACCTGGTATAGCCATGTCCCTTTAAGATGTGTAATACAAGTCTTCCCAACTGTGGCACAGATATGCTGAAGCTTAAATACACTTAAGTTCAGGAAAAAAAAAAAAATTAAAATGAGTATCAAAAGAAAAGTTTATTGAAACTAATATCCATGCTCTTGTAAATTTATTGTTTTAAAGGCTGGTACACTGCTTGTTAGCAAGAACATCTGTGTCCTACAATACTTAACAGTTTTCTGCCAAATTTGGAAAATGGGCCACGTGGTCCTAGAAGCTGGGTCAGTGAAACAACTGGAGCAGCAGTATCATTTTAAAGGAAAAATAAATGCAAGTAATACATTGTTCTCAGAAGCAGTATTTTTTTTCTTAAGTGTATTTTAGTACAGGGTCTCACTACACAGATCAGACTTGTAGTGATCCTCCTGTTTTCAGCCTCCCAAGCACTGAGATTACAGGTGTGGGCCACCACGCCCAATCTCAGTTGCTAGGAATTGAACCTCAGTCCCTGTATCTACCTAAGCAGGCACTTTAGTCTGCTGAGCTATCTGGCCAACCCAAAGCAGTAATTTTTTAACTTTATGTTAACTTCGCTTTCACTGTGGGTAGGTATAGTTGTGGGCTTGTGAGAAAGGTTTGATGGGGACAGAAAAAAGCTAGAAAAAATATTTTAATTTGAACTTGCTCTATACATATAGTTACTACTTGGAAATTTAATGTATAAAAAATACAATGGAGGCTGGGGGTGCAACTCAGTGGTACAGCACATGCTATCATGGACTTCTGAATTTGATTCCTTGCATCAAATAAACCATAGACAATATGATGGTAGATGAATTGTGGCAGATAGAATAAAACAACTGATCATGGATTTTTTTTGACATGGATTTAGGTGATGATAGGTCCTTAAAGTTAGGAACCAGCATAGCATATGTTCTGTGTGATGTGTACAATACTGTGTGTTTCCCAGAAAAGAGTCCCTTCTCTGATTTAGAGAGAAGGTAATCACCAAAATATTTAAAAAAAAAAAAAAAATGGTTGACTAAGATTATGCCACACTGTTCATCTGATTTTTACTTAGTACCATCTTGGCACAAATTTTACAAAAGGATACCTTACAGAATAGAAGACTTTGTCAAGTATGGCAGTGCATACTTGTCATCTTGGCACTCATTTGCTAGGCATTCAAGGCCAGCCTGAGCTACACAGCAAGACCCTGTCTCCAAAAAAATAGTGTTTTTGAGCCAGCAAGACAGCTCAGCAGTCTAAAGCACCTGCTTAGGCAAGCTTAGGTAACCACAGGGACCACTGTTTGATCCCAGGCACCACCTGCCCTGCCAGCCCTGCCCTCGGCAGGCTGAGCCAGCCACAAAAAAGAGGGGTTTTGTTAAGACAGAGTATAGAACAAGATAGTTTTTTTAAGCTGATACGTACTTTATTAATAGTTTTACTTTAAAAGGTTAATTGGTAATTGCATAAACTAGGAATAGGCCAATGTACTTACTAATTACAGAATTTTTAAATGATCCAGTTAGATAATGTGAATTCTGTAACAGAATATGTAAATGAGTCTTTAGAGGATCAGTGTATTTAATAGTTTTCTCATGAGGTAAGCTCCTGACAGTTTCTGACTGGCAGTTTTGTAATTACTTGAAAACCTGTATACAAGACTTTGTCCCATAATAAGTGTTACTGTAGGTCCTAACTAGAGTTGTGACTCAGGATTAAGTAAAAATCTTTTTTACTTAATGCTGGTGTCTCAGAGTAGTTTCGTTTTCTGATCCTTTTCCTGTTAGGAAAGAATGGCAGTGCACCCTGGCTTCATCTGAAAGTCTCGCACTGCTGTTGAGAACCCTGCTAGTCTTGACTGTGGGACCCAAGTATCCCCTCTAGTGGTAGTCCTGGGCACCACAGCTGTGGCTTTCAACTTAGCACAAACTTTTGTTTTGGAGACACAGGAAGGCTGGCATAGTATCAAGTCTGCCTTTGTAGGATGAAGCCATAGGTAGTACATATGCAAAGTGTGGCTGTGTTTCAGTAAAACTTACTCATGGATGCTGACATTTGAATTCTGCGTAATTTTCACATGTCTCAAAAAACTATCTCGTGATTTCTCCCACTCAAAAAAACCAAACACAAACACACACACACACACACACACACACACACAATTCTTAGCTTGTAGGGTGTATAAAGACAGGCAATGGGCCAGAATTAGCTTGTGGAAATACTTTGGTGGCTCCACCCTGATAGGACTGGTTTCAGTGGGCTACTTACCACACACGAAGGGAATGCCATCATGTTGTATAACAAGTAACTTGCTCTGAACTAAACAGGCACTGGTCAGTATCTATTTTGTGGTATTTAAGGCCAGTCTTACAGCCTTGTTTATATTATTTTTCTCTTGTGTTACTGGTAGTATCTATACATATATGTACATTGAGAAACTTTCAAATTGTAGGTAAAAACACCGTCAGTAATAAAATTGTGAACACTTATTTACAAATAAGACATTTTCATGATAAAAGCATAAAGGAATATGTGCAATTCTGCCTAAGTAATAAACATTCAAATTATCAAGGTGCTGAGAGCACCAATAAATTTCCTAGGCATTAGTTGAATCTTAGGTATTTTGCTTGCTTCTTGCCCTCTCCTGGTGTTGCTGACGAGACAAGGTGGTGCAGCAGAGGGAAAGTCTGGCTGGTCCTGGGCCTTAGGCCCTTTTGAGAGCACATATGCAAGTATTTGCCCAAAACTGCTTTTGAAATGATTCATGACTTGCTGAAGATCAAAGTACAAATCTGTATATTTATTGGTTTGGCAACTTTGCTTAGAAAGGAATAAATGCCCTGTCCACTTTTATACTGCTCCATCTTAGATATCCTCTGCTTGTCATTTCACACATGTCCCCTGTGACACCGCATATAGCGATGTATGTCAGAATTCTGCAGGTGGGTCCTTCGTTCTGTTACACAGACAAATATACCACCATTTAATAAATACAAATGCAGCAGTTTATCTTCACAAAGCAGCAAAGATTTTGTTACACAATGCTGTGACTTCTGTTTAGTCCAAAGAAAAACAGTCCCATTTCTAGAGAGGGGAAAAATACCCTTTCTTTGCCAAAAGAGCTGAAAGTTTGAAAACTAGAGGAATGTGCTCTTTGTACCCTTTCATTCTTCTGACTAGTGGGTAAATAGCAAAAACAGGTTAGATTTTAACATTCTAGCTAGAAATGTGTACTACTGGTCATATGGGTGTTTTTCATATTTTCTGATTGTTACCAACTACTTTGATTTCACTTGTGCTTTTTACTCTTCTTTGGAATGACAGTTCCGGGAGTTGTTAAATAAGAGTATTAACAAATGAGACTGTAGAGCTCTAGAAATCAACAGATCCATCTACTGGAGTACAAGTCCAACCTAAACAGGGGAAAAAAACAGAATGATAGCAAGACTTCAAGGCAAGGAAGATTAAACATAATGTAATTCAGCAGAGGAATGTTTCAAAAGCTCTTTATAAAGCCTTAAGGGAAGCAAGTACAAAACTTTCTGGGCAGATTGACTGTGTTTACAAAGGCTTTGTCAGCTCCACTCACCTTTTCAGAATCTGTTCCTGGACATCTCCAATTGTATAGGTAATACTGCAAATTGCCATCTCCTATACCAAACTTGAGTTTCTCCAAGAAGGTCTTATTTTCCATCAGATCTAGTGCATTGAATACATCAAATCCTTTCTGCCAGTGTAAAAGAGATGATTTAAAATTTAAAACATCAAAGACCAGTATATCTTTTGTAATACATTTTTTTTTGTAATATACATTCCAGTGTAATACTTAATACCTCTACCAACAGACTGAATGTGAACTTACACTGGAGCTTAATGTTTATTGTATATAGTAAAGGTTAGGAATTCAGTTCAAAATTGGTTTGTCATGCTACCAATGAATATGAGGAAGTCAGCAAGATATTTTAGAAATGCTGAATCAAAAAATGTAGTCTGATGGCTTGCATTTACATAAAAATAACCTACTGAAATTTCAGCAAATAGTTCCTACCTCAGAAGGCTGTCTAGATGGCTCCACTTCCAGGATCATTTAATTATTGGCCTAAGTTCCTGACTTAGCTAAAGCTACTTCTGAGAAACCAAAGTTTTAAGGACTTTAAATAGCATATTTTTCTGGGACTCATACTAAGGAATAAATTTGGTTTTAATGGTGAAATCTAAATTTCTTGGGCTTGCTGCATATATGTAATCCCAGCTACATGGCAGGTGGAGCAGGAGGATCACAAGTCTTGGGCCAGCCTGGGCAACTTAGCAAGACACTATCTCAAGGCTTCAGGATATAGCTCAGTGGTACAGTGCCCTGGACTCAATCCCTTGTCCTGCCAATAAGCCAATCATTAAATGTCAAAATGTTTGGTAACATTATTGTGTACCATGTGATAGAGATGACCCACATAAAATTTTATTTCTCAGAGTTTTTGGCGTAAATTACTTTCCATGTGGAAGAACTACTGTAGTTGAAAACAAGCAATCTGAGGATAATGTTGATTTGGTGATTCAAAAGTAATAGACTTGTAAAACAATGTTTTCAGTGATTAAATATGAAAAAAAGCAAGGAAGATATTTTTGATTTATTGTTTCTAATTTCTTATGAGCATTTTCCCACATTCATTGTTTATCAGCACAGTGTATATCATCATCTGATTCAGAGGTTTTTGTTTTTGAGATAGGACTCCCTTTGTAGTGTAGAGCTGGCCGTGAACTCACTGTGTGCCCCAAGTTGGCCTCAAGTTATGGCAATCCTGCCTCAGCCTCCTGAATGCTAGGATTACAAGTATTCACCACCATGCCTGGCTCAGATTTTTGTTTAAAGGAAAAATGTTTACTTGTGGCAAAAATTCAGTAATTACACTAACTTCTAGACTGAGGGAAGAGAAAAAGTAACAAGGTAGATTTTGAATTTAATTCTTTTAATTTTAAAAGAGACTAGCTGAATTAATGACTTTACTGCAGATTACTTACTCAATACAACTATTTACTCATGTGTTTCCCATCTACTATGCTAGGGTCTTTATCTATGTTCCTTGAGTTATCAGTTTTATGTAGTCCTATACAGTTATTTAAGTTTTTAATTTATAGCCTGGTATGGTGAGGAATATCTATAATCCGGCACTCCAAGGGGATGAGGCAGAAGAATCGCAAATTCAAGCCCAGCCTGGGAAATTCAGTGAGACCATGTCTTAAACAAAAAAAAATTGCTAGGGATATAGCTCAGGGTGAAGTCTCTGAGTTCAATCCCCAGTACTACTAAAGAAAATGTTTTAAATTTGTACACAATGTCTTTTTGCTAAGTTGCAATAAAATTAATGATAAAAACAGCCACTACAGTTTTAGAAGAAGCTCTTAGCAAAATTCTACAAATGACTTGCATGAATTACACCTGCACAGGATAAAATATTGTCTGAGGTCTCCTGTCTGTTACATTTGCTGGTGTACATGTGTGGCGAACCAGATAGCACACAGAGGAACAGGCCACCTACCAGCTTGGCTATGATGAGGGCGTCGTTCATGAGGTCTAGAAGTGGCGTCTCTGTGTGGATGTTGTAGAAGGAGTAGGCAGCTTTGAGGCTCTTATGGGCGGGATGATGCATGACCGTGGAGGGGAGCGTGTAGAAGCTCAGGAAGTCAGTCAGCTTCCCACTAGAGCTCTGGAAGACAAAGGTGGCACCAGTAAGTGTCTCCCTGGATACAATGCAAGCAGCTAACTGTGCTATCTTGCAGCATACCTTTTTATCATGTGAACAAGTGAGACCTCTAGTGTAAGCCCAGTCTATTAAGCTATGTAGAGGCCAGGAAGACAACAGAGTTGGAACTTTAGCCAAAGCGCTTGTTGCTAATTTGCATAAAGTTCCTAGAAAGCAGACTTTGCTGAAAGGGATGTTTCCAAGGCTGGGTAAGGAGTCAGTGCTCTGTGCTTATCAGCCAGTGATATGAGCAGATACCTGGGTTTGCAGCCATCAGTGCACTAAGGATTAGAAGGCTGCCTTCTCCCTTGAATGGTGCACATGTGGCAAGCTGGACAGCCACTAGTCCAGGGGAGGAGCACTCCCTCATGGAAGGCTGACAACCTTTGGAGTCCACATTCGCCATATTTTCTTGGAAATGAATGATATGAGCCTATTACTTTTGGGGAAAACTGGCAGGATTTGTTGCCATGGATAAAACACAAGCTTTCAGGGCCAAGGATACAGCTCTGCAGAGCAGCACCTGCCCGGCAAGCGTAAGGTCCTAAGTTTGATTCCTGGTACCAAAAAGGAGCTTTCAAGTACAAGCCAGTCTTAGAAAACCTGTATCCTTCACCTTGAGCTACATCATAGACTCATCTATGACAAAAGAGGTGATATCCATGCATGGGATATGATCTTTTGATACCATATGATGAAATGTCAGCATTTGAAAGACTTCTATAATTTAGTATTTTCCAGATGACCAATGCATGATGTTATAAACTCATACACAGGTAGGAGGACAAGACAGCTCAGTGGGTGAGCAGCCACTTACCAGGTATGAGGCCCTGGGCTCAATGCCCAGCACCATAAGGAAAAAAAGGGGAAAAAACCCCAAAACCCAAACCCCCCCAAAACAAGACAGACCAATGACCAGGTATGGTGACACATGTCTGTAATCCCAGCACTCTGGAGGCTAAGGCAGGAGGACTGTCATGAGTTTGAGGCCAGTCTGAATTACACAAAAAGATCCTGTCTCAAAAAAACCAAAACAAACAAAATGACCAATGGATTTTCATAGAGTATAAAAAAATTCACTGATACGATTTTGGATAAGATATATAATTATCTGAAAAGGTAATTAAAACTCATTTTTTTTCCAAATCTTCAATAGTTCATGCAAAATATTTTCTTTACGTATTTTAACCATTACAACAGAGTGAAAGTACAAAGAGATAATGAGGGGCCAGGGAGATGGCTCAGTGGAATAAGCGCTTCCCTGGCAAGTACAAGGGCCTGAGTTCAAACCCCAGTTCTGCAAAAAAAAAAAAAAAAAAAAAAAAACCAGATAATGAGTTTTCTGTTAATCCAAAAGACCTTAATGAGATTTGCAAAAAAAATGTAAGTTTGTGGTTTGGGAGATACCTACTTTTCATATGAAAATAAGTTCATATGAAATATGTACTTTAGGTAACATGATAGATTTACCATTGTATGATTATAACAACAAATACCAGAATTTAAAATTTTGAATATGGTAAATATTTATAGATATTTTGTCAGAAAGTATAAACCTATGATGAAAATGTTTGAGAAGTACTGCCTTAGAATACACAGATGCCTGCAGAGTGTACAAAGATGGCTACTCCTGCACTGTTAGAATCTTCTGATCCGTGGTCAGATGCGTTATCCATTGCGCCACTGGCCCGCGGTTGTTAGAAATAAAAATTTAGATTGCTTGGTGTTCTTCAGCCCTCTGAAGGGCTGGCAAGATAGCTCAGTGGACTAAGTGCTTTGGCAAGGGAAGGGACCATGGTTTGATTCCTAGTCCCGCATGCCAGCACTGGCCCCGCCCTCAGGCATGCTGAGCCTGCAACTGAGTCTAGGTGTTGTGCCACATGCCTGTAATCCCAGTACTGGGTGGCTGAAAACAGAAGGATCAGGAGTCCAAGCTGCATAGTGAGACCCTGTACCATTAAAAACCAAAACAAACAAAAAATGTCCTCTGAGTCATCCCACCTGGGTTCCCTCCATTATTACCCTACCTGAATGTGTGATCTTCTGTCCAAGTGCTGATAGACTCCTGAGTGGAATGACTGCCAACAGGCCCCTTGAGTCACTTCTAACTGTGGCCCTTTCCACTTTGCTCTTTAAAGTACTTACAAGATTAAGCCCCCAAATTCTCAATTCCCTCCTGGGCCTCCAAATGAGATATCATCTGAACAAATTCCAGATTTTGTTTATTTAAAAAAAAAAGTTTAAGCCAGCTGTGGTGGTGAACTCCAATAATCCCAACATTCTGGGAGGCTGAGTCAGGATTCTAAGTTCCAGCCCAGCTGGGTATTTTAGCAATTTAGGAAGATTCTGTCTCAAAATACAGAACAAAAAAGAGATATGGCTGTATGAAGGTCCTGGGCTCAATCCCCAGTGTTGAGAGAAAAACCCCATTCATGTATAGAAACGGGCCTGTAAGAATATGGGGCTTTTCTATATCATGGGGGAAGAGGAAAGACACAGGTATGTTATTACCTTCCTGGAAAACAATCTTGCCATAGTGTTTCTGTCTTTTTTGGTATTATTGCTTTATCTTTTTTTTTTTTTTCTTCAGAACTGGGGAATTGAACTCAGGCCCTTATGCTTGCCAGGGAAGCACTTATTCTACTGAGCCATCTCCCCGGCCCCCCTATTGCTTTATCTTTACCTCCACTACAAACGTGTCAATAATATGCTCCCGGGGAAGGAACCAGTGAGCCACTTCCTCTTCATCCATTACTGGAGCTAGATGGAACTGCTTCAAGTAACTGTTGATTAATTCTCGGACTGCTTTGATATCTTTTGGTTCCATTGGTCTCAAGCCTAAGGTCTTTGTAACCTTGTTAGAGGAAAAATAAAACAAACCAAGAAGTTTAAACATAAGAGGAATACTTTTTGCTCAAAGTGTATTCTGCAGAATCAACATTATACAGGTATTTGCATAACTGCAAAAATTTGATTCCTGCCCCAAAGTTCATGAATCAGAATCTGCAACCTACTAATCTTCCTTGGTAACCTGTATACCAATTAATGGGAGAAGCAATAGTTGAAAACATGCTAGAGAATGTGTCCTGTCTTCATGAACCAGGTCTTGCCCATGACCCAAACAAATCAAAGGGAGCACCACAAGTTAATTTATAAATCAATCCCAAGAATTTTGACATTGATGGATAAGGCACAAAAACTGTATACCTTCTGGGATATTTGCTTTAAACTGCCAAAGGTGACTTTTTTTTTTCTTTCCTTTGAGACAGGGTTTCATTATGCTGTTTAGGCTGGCCTTGAACTCACTTTGGAGCTAGGCTGATCTCAAACTCATGGCAATGCTCCTGTCTCAGTCTCCCAAGTACTGGGATTACAGGCATGCACCACCATATCCAGCAAAGGTGATACTTTGAAATCAGTTGAAAAACTTATTTTATTCATTCATGAAAAGGACATTGTGATTTTGTTCTGTTGAACAAAAATAACAGAATTAACCACACTGGTCAAGATGCAAAGGCAGACACTTAAAAGGGGCCTGGTTGACAAGTATTGAGGTTGGCTTTTGTGATTATCTTTTGATTAAAAGGTTATCAGGGTAGACATTTTAATTACCACCAAAGAGTTTTATAATTTTAGCAGTGCATCGCCTCAACCACTTGGCCACCTCACCCACAAGTTTTATAATTTTAAAACAAGGCCATAGGAATAAAGAGCCTGCAGATCAGGATAGGTCCCCATTTAAATTCATCCAACTGCTTATACTCAAAAAACCTCCTAACATCACTTTGGCTCTGCAGATCTGTCCAGCATGTAAGGAAGCTCAACAAACCAAAATTAAAAACATATAGTGTTTCTTCCCCAGTAAACCTGATATTTTCATCCTCTTGAAAAAATACTGAATATATTTTAGAAGATAAATAACTTACATACTGCTACTCTAGCTTTTCTGCCACGAATGACTTATAAATATTGAAAAACTATGTAGAATTAAATCATAATTCCTGCAGGTCCCTCTATAGAAGTCCATGAGGGGAAACAGACACTTAACTGGAGTGCCAGCTCTGATCAACGGTGGGTAGCTATGCTGAGGCTTCAAAGGTTTAGGAACTAACAGGGCTGAGTAACAGTGTGGGGCTGGGGGTGCATGCCTTATATTTACAGATCCAACACTGCCCAAGTGTGGATTTACTGGGGGCTTTTCAGTGATGACTATGTAATATATAAAAATACCACAGCATAGCTAATATGCCATTTAATCTAAATTAGAGGACTGAAGTCATTAATACTTGATAGGCAATTCATGAAGTACTTTTAGTCTTTTTGTGGCTCTCAAAACTGAGTCAGAAATACTTAGTTCCCAGTTGGAAATAAATACACTTTTTTTTTTTTTTTTTTTTTTTTTTTTTTTTTTTTTTTTTTTTTTTTTTTTTTTTGGTGCAGAACTGGGGATTGAACTCAGCCCCTTGTGCTTGCCAGGGAAGCGCTTATTCTACTGAGCCATCTCCCCAGCCCATACATTTTTAAATGCTAATAAAATGGCCCAAGTCACATAAAGTATCCATGTACAAGCACACTGTAGTCATTTATAATTTATCTTCTGTAACGAAGCAGATTCTTAGTGATTAAGTAACATTTTTTTCTTCTGTTATTGGTTCAGAAACACCAAGCGATTAGATTAATTAATAAAAACAGCAGGACATTTACTATTACTAGAGAATATTAAGAAATTAGAAAGTCTGCCAAATTCTTTCTAGAGCAACTATTTTTTGGAGCCCAACTCTCATTCACTAAATATTCATACTGTGAAATCACTAAAAACACCATTTGCCCAGCCCAGTGGACATCCTTTTTGTTTTTGAGACAGGGTCTTGCTATATCACTAAATTATCCAGAATAGGCTTGAAGCTGCAGTTTTCCTGCATTAGGTTCCTGGGATTATAAACTAAACCACCATACCCTGCTGTTTAGTGTACACCCTTAACCCAATAATTCTTCAACGTTTCAGTCTCCTAACCCCTTGGCAGTCTTAATAATTATTGAGTACTCTAAAGAGCTTTGCTTGTGTAGGGCTACTTGTCTATCCTTGTATTAGACATGAAAACTCATAAGATTCAAAAGCAAAATACAAGAAGTACACCTTCTCTACAGCCTCTGGAAGAATGTTTAGTACACTCCTAAAAAGATGAAAATGAAATATGCAAATTATATTTTAGTGTTCTTATGGAAATAGTGTTGATTCTACAGATTCAAAGATCTTAGGGACTTGCAAAGATACCTGGGCCACATTTTGAGAACTGATACTTCAGGTCTCAGAAGGGCAGAAAGATATGTAGCAGAATTTGGATGACAGCAACTCTGTGAAACGTGTTTGGGAAAGCAAGTAGAAAGTACTATTAACTTGGGAATTTACAAACATTTCAGATAAGTGTTCACAAGAGTACTAAACCAAAAGGGAACATCAGACTATATCAGGTATAAAAAACAAACAAATAAGTAAATAAATAAAGACCTACAATGTGGGAAAATATTTTTACTGACAAACAATGGCTAAAAAGAATTTATAGAAGAATGAAAGAAATGTTCAAATGTGACAAACACTATAGCTGTTGTCTTTAGGAAAAAAGTATGAAGACTTAAGCTTTGCTAAAAATAAAGGTTCTGTAAGAATTCAACGAAAAACAAAGAAACACTTCCTATAACTGAGAAAATTTCAAGTCATAAGCAAATTGTAGTATGAATCAGATATACTTCCCAGGACCTAACTCATATCCATTACTTGTTAGCCTCTGTAGATAATGAAAAACCCATTTAAATGTATAAAGAAATACAGCTCCAACGACTGAGTGAAACACAACTGTCAGACTTTGGTATGAGAGTCAAGATTCCAGAGCAGAGACGTAAGCACTGCTTATGGTTATTTACATGATAGAAAAAGGAACATCAATGTGACAAACACAAAAAATAGTCATCTAATGCTGCTGAACAGACTAACATGTCTTATGACCTGTCTGAATAGCTGATCCTTCTCATAGCATAAACCTAGGATCCTGGTAGACTAATCTGACACCTGCTTTTTATGTACTTCAATTTTCTTTACATTTAAGGTCACTGACACAAAATCTAACTTTGGAAATACTCAGCTCTAATAAAACAAAACAAAACAAAACAAAACAAAACAAAACTGAAACCCTGAAGGATGGGGACATGTAGGACAATATGTTTTGGGGAAGCCTACCAAGTTATAGACCAGTAGCTAATAGTGTAGGCAGTGCAAACTCTGATCTGACGTAGCAGAGAACCAACATGCCAACCCAGTTTCAATGTCTCTTCCATGTGGTGAGACTAATAATCTGCCCATTGCTGACTGTTACAGATAATAAATGAGACTAAGGCTATTAAATATGCAGTATGATTCAGGCCCCAATAAATGTTAACTTGTATATTCAGAAGTCCTTGAGGAAGACATAAAGCAAGCACTGTAAGTAGAAACAGTAATAATCAAAAAATGAAACAGGCATACAAAAGTCATTTCAACCAGACTGAATGGTATAAAACTCCTTCTAATGACTTGGTGGCTAACAGTGATTTCACTCCTCTAGGGTTGTGGGAGGGACAACAGGGTCTCACATTGCTGGACTGCCCAACTTTTAACTCAGCAGGCAGACCACCTGCACATGTGCTGTCAGTACCTTCCAAGCTTTTAATGTCTGCTCCTTCTCCTTTGCCTTCTTCCTTCCACTAACCACTCTTTGTATTTCTTTCCTATGTTTTCAAAGGTTAAAGGAGACTAGCACATACCAAAGAGAATTGTCTTGGCCTTCATAATTCTCCTTTTCTTTCCACAGCTACACTGGAATAACTACACTGTGGGCCATCTCGGGTTTGGGGTCATGAGAGGTGCCAACACAAGTGAAGGGGTGTGCCCAGGGACACTGAAGTCCAGTTTGCATCCTGGCAATAGTGGTGATACCCTTGCTTGGGTGTCAAACTTCACAAGCTTCAATTTTCTCACCTATATATGAGGAATAAAAAATGCTAACTCCAAAAGGTAGTTGTGAGAATAAAATGAACATGTATGGAAGAATATTATAAGCTTCAGTTTACTGGAGCGGGGGGAACAATCATTACAACAACATGGCTCCTACAAAAGGAACCCAGGAACTCAGCCTGATGGCAAGGAAGACACCAAAGGTGGGTCTCACAACTGAGGCCTGACCAGTAATTTATCACTAATTGATTAAAACTTATTATGCATGAGAAGATTGACACTCGTACAAAAATACAAAGGTTAAATCCGGTCAAAAAATACTTTCAGGGGAGCCAGGCCTTGATCTTGCCTCCTACATTTCATACCTTCTGCGATTTGCTCCTGTTGGGTGCAAGTGGAGCTGTAGTTTGCCTTTAACCAATAGAAATGGCAGCAATGATTTTTTTTTTCTTCTATTTGGGGAAGGGTCTACTGGGTGTTCAGGGTCTCACTACTAGATCGGACTCATAATGATCTGCCTGTTTACAGCCTCCCAAGAACTGGGATTACAGGTACGTACCGCCACGTCTCGTCTCAATTGCTGTCTCAGGCGCTTTAATCTGCTGAGCTATTTGTCTGGTCTGACAGCAGTGACTGAATGCCACTTTCATGAGTAGATCTATCTCTGCAGACTGTTTCCAATGGCTCTGGTGAACTAACTGCCATGCTGTGAGCTGCCCAATGGAGAAGTCATGTGGTAAAGAACTAAGGGTAGCTTCTAGCAGCCTGTGAGGAATGGAGGCATCCATCTACCATCCAGCAGAAAGTCATTCTTGCCAACACCTATGTATGCCTGGAAGCAGACCTTCCCCAAGCCCTGGAACACACCTTCACAATGGTTTCATAAGAGACACCACACCCAAAGAAAGGGACCCAGCTAGTGGTGTAGAACCTGGGCAAGAAGAATGTGCTGTTTTAAGCTGCTCAGCTTGTGATAAATAATATACCATTGAAGTCATAAAGTGAAGCCTGGAGAGCACATTTAAACTTTGCCCTCTCACAGCAGAGAACTTTTCCTGTTAGTAGTATGAGTGCTCTAAAAGATGGTGATTTAATGAGGCATTATTTCCTCTCCTCAGTCCTCTCTCTGAATCTCAATTCCTTACTGCTATAAGACATCAGGAATAGCCTGAACTTTTCTTCCCTTTTAATACACAATACTGAAAATTTTAGAAGTTACATTTCTTATTTTAATCCCATCCAGTTATAAACTGAAGTATTTAAAGAACCTTAAAAACAAAAGTATGGTGTGGTGGCACACACCTGTAATCCCAGCAACCTGGATGGCTGAGACAGAAAGACTGCTGTGTGCTTGATGTCAGCCTGAGCTACATAGTGAGTTTAAGGCCAGCCTGAACCACAGACCCTGTCTTAAAAAAGCAAAAATACAAAGCAAAGCAAAATGGTGCTTCTAAATGAACTCCCCTACTTTTCTACTTGAGTTCTATGCAGTCTTCTAGCTACATATTCCCTTCCTTAGATCCATAAGTCTGTTTTTAGACTGCTGTAAAAAATTCTTTGCTGCATTGAAAGATATGGTCATTACTGCTGTAACTGCAGATCTTTTTTACTTACATCCGGCAGTCTGTAAAGCTTCATTGTTCTCTGTAATGTCATATTTCTACTCAAGTGAGAAAACTTCACTTCTACCAATTTTCTGGGGTTTAGGGATCGATGCCAGTATCTGGAATACAATAAAGGTTTTAAAATCTAATTGATTTCTTCCTGTACATGTCTTCATTCTGTCTCATCTTGGCTGTTCAGAAGCATTTATTCAGTACTTATGCTGCACCCGGCATAGTGGTGGGCGCTGACCCTTGTCCTATCAAGTAATTTTATCAGTCAATTTTTCTTCTCTCAAATGACTTATATTCTTATTTGTGTGCTGTTACACCTTGCGACCTTTGATCTCTGTAACTAAAGAGGAATCATAAAATTTCAAGAGAAATATTTCAAGGTAGGCAAATATTTAATGACATTTGTGATTTTCTTTCTTTCTTTCTTTTTTTTTTTTTTTTTTGCGGAACTGGGGATTGAACTCAGACCCTTGCTCTTGCTAGGGAAGCGCTTATTCCACTGAGCCATCTCCCCGGCCCCCGACATTTGTGATTTTCTAAGAGCAAACAAAAAAATATATATGTATGAAAATAGTTCCCCTAGTAAGTAGTTTTTAGTATAGTAGGGCACACACTAAGAAAAACAACTTTTGGAGAAACTGGTCTGAATTTCTTAAGTGATTCCAATTTGGGCAGTGGGATAAGTGATTTATTATAACACATCTGTGATGTATTTTTTCTTATTTATTTATGAATATCATGATTTAACAGACTGTAGTAATTTTATAATTTTACCTTTTATACTATGTTTATTTGAAGTTTCATCCTTTTGAGGCAATGAAAATAGTAGAGGGAGATAACTTTCTGTTGTTTTAGAACAGCTTGGTCCAATTATAGTCTGATTACTCTCCTAGTAGAATAACCTTCAAAAACCTAATAGAGTCAAGGAGAACAGAACTTAAGCCTGCTCTGAGCAAACAGGCATATTGGAGGCTTTTCAACTGATGTGCATCACATTTTTGGAAAAGTTCAATAGTGCTGCAAAGCACAGTAGAAAACTGAATTTACAGATGGAAAGGAAAAGTGCAACACCGAACATTTCAAGATCACAATGCTGCCCATTTCTCTACGTGTACACGTCTTTCAAACAAAATAAAAACAGAAACATACATCAAGTGCCATTAGCAGAAAAATGTTAATTTATGTTTAGTCACCAAGTGGCTGCATAATGTACTGGGGCCCACTCTGGACTCTGTGGTTCTAGGTCTTGGTCTCCATCTCTTCTCCCAACAAAGTAAATAATTGTCAGTCAACCGGAATCCATCCTGCTATATACCCAAGAAGAGTAAGATTCCTAACAGGAGGGTAGCAAATTGACATGTTTGGCAACGGGTACACTCAGAATAGGGATGTGGTAACCATTACCTGCATGTGGCCACAGGTTTAGGAAGGACCACTCCAGCAGTGTACACGGCCTGGAAGATTCCTTCCAGGTTCACTCTTCTGGTTATTTCTCTAATTAAAACTGGGGCTACCCGTTTGGATCTCAATTTCTTATGAACACAAAGAAAGTTGATTTCAACCATCTTCTTCACACTAAGAAACAAAGATGTTGAAAATTAGGGCCAATACAAGATGAAAACATTAAAAAAAAGATTATCCATAAAATGTCAAAGAATAAGAATGGTGAAGACATCCTTTAACCATATTTAAGAAAAACACTTCACAAAATCAGACTGCAACATGATTTGCCATTACTTTCCTGCACAAAGAATGTAACTCCAAGTCTAGGGTTAAATCTCTTTGTTCTAAATAAATTTTAAGACTTTGATCTTTTTATAAGGTTACATTTTAGAAATTGGGAGAAGCCAGAGGATGAGCCTGGTGTGGACTCCGGCATGAGTTCACGAGTTGCAGCGGCTCCGGAGGAAGAGAATGAAAAAGGAAAGCTGATCCTTTCTGCAGCTGAAGGTATAACTGCCTTTTGATGCTAATGTTTCTGGAAGAACCTTGAATGCCCAGGGACTTTCCAACCCTGCTGCTCATAATCTTTAGTCCTCTTCTGATCACTTTAGAACTAGGATTGCCAGGTAGAAGTTACTTTACTGATAAGAAGATGTGACTGTAATCTGCTTACCTCAGTGACCTGGATGCACTGGAGCATGTGTACCCAGGAGTAGTGTATCCACCTGATACCACTCCTGAGTCGGGCTCCATTCTGGTGTCAAATGTTGACAACGTGAGGACTGACTTTCTAATTAAAACCACTGCTAACCAGGGCAAGGTATGGGATTTTAAACTTCTATTGAAATAGCATATTTTAAAATGTCTCTTGGAAACACGAAGTACCTACATTGATTTTGAGATAGTTTCTGTTGCCATTGAGAATAAATGAAAATATGTTGAAAGTAAAAAAAAAGAAAAGGAATTAGATCAAATGTGCCTCAAAGTGTAGCTTTTCCCTGTAGCAGGTATAACTGTGGTGATAACTGGTGTAGAATATAACAAAATGTTGCTTTGAAGCAAGACATCCTTCTCTAGGACCCATGAGAGGGGTTGTGACTAGAACAGAGGTGGTGCCTCACAGAGCCACAATAAATCTTCCGAGAGTTTCAAAGCCGTGTCCAGTTCTGTCTCCATGTGTGCAGGCCTTTTGTTTAATACACTGCATTCCCTAATATCACATGTGTTTATCAGAAAATAAGCTATCCCAAGATATGGAATGGTATACATATGTATTACACATTAGAGCATTGATCTTCATAACTAGATCTTAGATTTTCTGAGCTGGAAATCCAGAGCAAAAATGCAATACACTTATTCTATGAGGATGAACTCTTTGTTCCTCCTAAACTTCTAAGTAAATTTTTCCCCAGAAATGCCAGATTATAGCTATCCTGATACACACGTACTATATAGACATGTGTGTATAAGTAAGTACATAATACAAGCCTGTGTTCATGTGTGAGACTGACAGCCATAAACTGAAATCCAGAAAGACAGAGAAGGACAAAGAGAAAGGGATGGTGGAAAGGATACATGGAGATGGAGAAATGGACAGAGGTAGTAGTCTTTTTTTAAAAAAAAACTATGTAAATTTAATTTTTAGGTTTAGTGCAAAATTGAACTGAGTCCCAAAATAGCCTTTGCCAACAAACTGAAAGCTGGCACTGAGTACTTTTTAAAGCCTACTCTAATGCAATTTTTTGAAAAGAAATACATAGAAGTGACATGGAAAAGCCTTAACTCACACCTGTCATAAATCCGTATGTTGGCAGGGATGGCACTTATGAATCCTACTAGTTTTTTATTTGAAGACACTCTGACCCCACAATGCCACTGCAGGAGCCAGCCTGGGGGACGCAGAGCCCTAAAGTCAGGGAAGACAAGAACACAAGAACTAGTTAGTATCTAAAAGACACAAGAGGGGCTAAGGATATACCTCAGCAGTACAGCACCTGCCTGGCAAGTGCAAGGTCCTGAGTTCAATTCCCAGACCCACCCCCCAAATGAATGAATGAATGAATGAATGAATGAATGAATAAATGACACAAGAAAAGACCTGATATCTCTCAGCCCAATGACCCTCTCAATAGCCTACATGATTAGCAAGGCATACCACAATAGGAACTCTGGTGAATAGTCGAAGCGGAACATATTGTCATCATCTTCTACATAATTCTCATTTAACAACATGTATAACTCCTTGAGCTACAAGATAAAACAAGCATCCTGTTGATAGTTCTCAGGACCAAGTCAAAAGTGATTTTTGTAAATACAGGTGTTGAATCAAAGAGTTTTACTCACCACCTCTGCATTACTCAAGTCTAAAGTGTCCCACATAAAACCCTGTGGCAAAGAATATGGTTCTTGACGTACATTGTCTTTGTCTGGCTCAATTGCACCATGAGAAGTTATGACTTCATCTGCAGAGAGAGACAGAAAAAAAAAAAGGAGAGGATATTCAATTACAGAGCATTCTGACAATCCCAAAAGATCAGTGACACAGACACAATCAGATGTAGGGCACTTGGGTTTCATGTAATCTTTTACAATGTGCTATTATTCCAGCTTCCTCTGAGCTGAAATAGAAAAGGTAGACAATGGTGTGGAATGACTATTTCACCAGTTAAATCAAAGGGGAACTCCTCTGTCACCCAGTGACAAAGATGATGTTGTGAAATTATAGGGATTTCTCAGCCTTAACCCCAGGCTAGTTTGGTACATGCAAGTCTGGTACATCAGCCTCAGAGATGGTCACCTTTGGGCTGAGGATGAATCTTGGTGGTACAGCAGTTGACTGGTTAAGGCTGAGGTGCTGGGCTCAACCTTTAGCATCAAAGAAAAAATTAACATTGTATTTTCACAAATCAGGGACAGGAACCTCCAACTCCTCCCAGCAGCAAACCCTAAAATTAATTTCAAGGCTGGCTACTTCTCTCCATCTGTACTGCTAGAAATGTAGCTGAATCCAAGTGTGTTCCAAGTCTCTAGTGATTTCCTTTGCAGAACTTTTCATGAAGCTGAAAAAAACCCTGATTCTTCCTGCAGCTGCCACCTGCCTCACTGTTCTTGTACTCTCCATGCCCCTAGCCTCCCATGCTCTGACCATGCTGAACTTGCTCAGGCGTTCCCCAGCTCAGGGCCTTACTATGCTTCCCATTGCTGAAGCCCTGTTCCTGGTCATCACATGGCCATCCATGTTCTTACTTTCTCGCAGCAGCTTTCCCTGACTAAAGCTTTTTCCGACCTAAAGTATGTCCCCTCCAGTCCTGGGCTGGCCACCACTTTTCCTAATGCCACCACTGTTTCCAGGGTACTTAGTAAGTCTCAGCAAATACCCACTGAGTGAAGGATCTCAGTGCCCAATTCTTTACATCACAGAAGCTTTCTGCAAATAGATGTCACAGGGTTTCTATCAGCTTCAACACTTCTAATTTAATCCCTACCTTAATTAACTCATGTGTTATGGTATGAATCCAAACTCTCCCCTAAAAGCTCATGTGTTTAGAGAAGGAGATTTGGGAAGGTCACTAGATCACAGACCCTGACTTCATCAGTGGGTTAACCCATTGATGAGTTCATAGCTGAATGTGCTATTAGAAGGTGGGTCCTACCTGGAGGAGGAAGGTCACTGGGGAAGTGCCTTCGAAGGGTATACCTATTTCTCTAGCCCTCCCTTCCTCTCTGTGTGCTGGCTGCCATGAGTGACCATGAGCAGCTCTATTTCCCCACCATGCCCTTCTGTCAAGATGTTTCTGCTTTGAAGCCTACACCATGGACTGATCTTCTGAAACCATGAGCCAAAGTAAACTTTTCCTCCTGTCTTAGTTACTTTTTTTTTAAATTTTATTTGTGTGTGTGTGTGTGTGTGTGTGTGTGGCCAGCTCAGCCCACCAGGGGGTGGGGCTGGCTGGCATGTGGTGCTGGGGGATTGAACCGTGGTCCCTGTGCTTTGCTTTGCTAAGCTTGTTCTAAGTAGGTGCTTTAGACCACTGAGCCATCTCACCAGCCCCTTAGTTACTTTTCTTATTGCTGAGACAAAATACCTAAACTCAAAGTTAAGGAGGAAAAGTTTAATTTAGGTCATAGTTTGTAGAGGTTTCAGTCCAGGGCTCCAAAGGCAGGGTGGCACGTGGAAGAGGGACAACAGTTCATGGCAGCAGAAGACTGCAAAAGCAATGAGTGGAGGAGGGAGAAAGACTCTGTGCCTTATATTGTATGCAAGCTACCCACCCTAGGGTAGATATAGCGCTCACACCCATAATCCTAGCATAAGACCATAAATCAATCACAAATTCTACATTCAGCTGCCTTCCAAAAGCCACTTTCCCATGACATGACACTTTAGGGGGACACCTAGGCAGGCACTGTGCCACTGAGCTATATCCCCAACTAGAGGGATATCCAGACACAGACCATAACCCCTCCTATAGGTTGTTTATATCAAATATGCATTTTGGTCACTATGATGAAAAATTGACCTACTTCATCTTCACTGACTTCAAGTCAGCCCAAATGGCCAAATTCCCAGTCCTTACCATACAGAATCCCTTGTAACCAATGCGTAATGCTTGGCTCTCAACTAATATCCCTGGGAAAGTCCCATTCTGGTAGCTCTGAAGAGCTAGGTGTATGTGGACTGAACTGGGGCACCTTCTCGTACACAGAGGGGGGCAAAGCCTCTTTGATTTCCAAGTCTTGCCCCCAACCTCAGGCTTACTCTTTCGCCATCAACCTGGCTTCCCTCCTCTATTAGGGCCTCTGACTGAACAGTGTACACGAAGAATTCTAAGAACTGAAAAATCAAGGATTTGAGAGGAGCAAAGTAAGATGAACTACTTCCTGAAGAGGCACCCTACAGTTTAGTGCTGGCTGAAAGTGGTATATTCATGAGATAGGCCAGCAGCTTGGTTATAACATTCAGCCAAACTCAATACATTTAGATCAATAAAGCTAGATTCCTTTAGCTAATGGTCATTTGATTCAGACTACTCAGAATCCTGTAACTTCATGCTAAAGAATCTTCATTTATTATTAAATATATTTCTACAACCTGAAAGGAAAGACAAGACAGTTTTTTTCTTTCTTTCTTTGCCCTTCTGGGAACGGAACCTAGGGCTTCGCCCATGCTAGGGAAGTGCCCTATTGCAGAGCTATACCCAGTCCCTCTTTCTTCTTTCAACCCCAGTCAGAAGTTTGTTTCTTTTAAAAGACTGGGGTGGCCAGGCATGGTGGTGCACACCTATAATTCCAGGATTTGAGACACTGAAGTAGGAGGATTAAGGCTAGCCTGGGCTATAAAGTGAGTTCAATACTACCCTGAATTGCATAGTAAGACCCTATCTCAAAAAAGACAGACAAGCAAACAAAAATAACAACTAGAGGCTGACCAACGAGATAGCTCAGTGGACTAAATGCCTGCTTAGGCAAGTACAGGGAATGGATTTAATCCTTGGTACTACATGCCATGCTGGCCCCACATCTGGGTGCGCTGAGCCACCACTGAGACCAGGCGTGGTGATGCATGCTTGTAATCCCATAGCTGGGGAGGCTGAAAACAGGAGGATTACTATGAGTCTGAGCTGTGTATTGAGACCCTGTACCAAATACATAAAAAAAAGTAAAAAACAAAACAAAACAAAACAAAAAAACAACCCACAACTAGAGTAGGTATAGGTAGGAAAGGAGTTATGGTTTTAAATAGTTCAAGAAATACTATTTGAAGGCATAAATGTTCCTCGACTTATATTTGACAAATAGCTATGATTATTTGTACATAGCTGGGCTACTTGGAGTTTTGGGCAGCAAATAACCTTTCATATAATATTAATCTAAAACCCCAAATAATCGGGCTGGTGAGATGGTTCAGTGGTCTAAAGCACCTACTTAGAACAAGCTTAGCAAAGCACAGGGACCGCGGTTCAATCCCCCAGCACCACATGCCAGCCAGCCCCACCCCCTGGTGGGCTGAGCTGGCCACACACACACACACACACAAATAAAAAAACCAAAATAAATAAATAAATAAATAAATAAAATCCAACTAATCAAGAAATAAAAAGCAGAAATAGTTGTATAGCATCTTCACACATACACAAGACAAAGCAGGAGACTTCTATTGTAATGCATATTAAACATTTTTATGATGTTATGTCATTATTTGTTCTTATGTAAATTAGGTTACTGGAAACTAATCTGGTGAGAGTCTAAGTGAGTGTATTAGAGTGGCCCAGTACCAAGGAATGAGTACCCTGTGATGGACCAATGTCACATGCAGCCTTTGAATCCTGTTTTTATGACATTAAACAGTACTGAAATGATGCTATCAACATAATGGTGAGTGTTCAGAACCCTTTTGTTACGTGGTGTGGAGCTGTTTTAGCTAAACAGTTCCACACCACTTAACAAAAATCCAGTCCCTGTATTTGCCTTCAGTATTAGCAAGCATATTTTCTTAATCTTTTGGAATAACCAAGGAGTGAAAATGATAAAAGATCACATTTAAGAAGAACTCTGTTATGGCTTATATCTAGATGTCATCCCAAAGTCTCATCCCTCATAGGTAGGACTTTTGGGAGGCAGCTGGGTCTAAGATGTGTAATACTGGGATTAAGGGTATGTGATAACTTAATTGGTTTAGCATAGTCCTGGGTGTGAATAATGGAAGGTCCATCCTGGGTGAGGTGGCACCAACCAATAGGCACATAGCCTGTATGGGATAAAAGGGATAGGGAGGCTGCTGCTGGCTGCCTTCTGCCTGACCTGCATGAACTGTTTCTCCACTGCTATCACACTTTGCCTTGGATCCAACCACTGTGGACTGAAACGTTTGTGAAATAAAACAAGTCTTTCCTCCTATAAACTGTGAGGTAAAACAAATCTTTCCTCCTTTAACTTGTGGGATATTAGGTACTTTTCCCTAGCAATAAGAAAGTAACTAGATAAACATCACAAAGCTCAAAGGCAAAGAGGATGGGTGAGAGAACTGTAGGTATGTATATAGCTTTATATATGATATGTAATTTAGTATCATAATTCAAATGTAGGGAAATTGGATTTTGTAATAGGAATAGCAATTAGATTAAAATCATTGTTAGTGCAATCCAATGTCAGTACCTAATATTTATTTTAAGAAGACAAATATGAGCTTTATGAGCATTTTATATCTATAATACAGCACAAATAATATAAGTAAAGTAAAGTCTCCTTAGGCTTTTTTGTTATTATTATTGTCAATCTATCTTGTTTTAAAAACAAACAAAAACAGAAGCACTTACTTAGTTTGGGTACCGGCTGTGTATCCCAGAACTGGTATCTGCGTTTGGCTGCCTCATCAATGTTCCTGGCCGGGCCCTGGCACGCTGATAGCAGCTCCACTGCTCTCTGGATATCCTGCAGCTTCTGCATGGGGATGGTGGCATTCTGTAAGAGTAAAGACACAGACACATAGGACATGAGGGAGTGGCTGCTGTTCTCGAAACCAAGGCAGACTTGAGCCTACAATGCCTAAACACTGCCCAACCTCCTCAAGGCTTGCTCAAGGCTATAGCTCCAGGATGGTAATGTATGAGGAGAAAAGCAGACATATTATTACAGATAACAGTTACATATCTGAACAGGCTCTGGTGATTTGGGAAATCTACAGTAAATTGAAGCATACTCTGCTGCAGGTCTCACCCATCTACAAAGGCTCTACCAGTGCTGCTCTGTGAGGAGAAGCCAACAGAAGAGACATACAGGATGTGCATTTCTGTCACCCAGAAGCTGTAAGCCTCTAGCCTCAGGTGCACCATTAGGGTGCATGCCCTGTGGTAGCGATGGGGGACAAACGAGGCAGACAGGAAAATTTTAGTTCATTAAAAAAAAAAGAAAGAAAAAGAAATTTGAACTTAGTGCTGGCTGGGAGGGACTCATCAGGTCCCTTACTTCCTCACAGACCACAGCCAGCCCTCCCCTCCCCTCCTCTCCTGGGGACAGAGTCTCCAAAAGAAGATGGCAAGCAGCTCTTCTGTCAGTCCTGATCCTTGCCACCCAGGTAAAATGTAAAATAGAAACAAAGCAGACAGGGAAGTTTTAGTTTCAGTTTATAAAATAGAAAATAGCTTCACACTCTAAAGTTTTTTTGTCAGAGCCAATATTCTTATCACCTCTTAAAGATTTCCCCAGCTGTTTTCTTAAATTTCTCAAATAATGTAAGATAAAAGCATACAGGTCTAAATATACAAATCAGTGACTTTTCTCAATATGCAAAATATGAAGTTTTGGAGTTGCCCCCACCCCCACCCCAAGTAATAGGGATTGAACTCAGGGCCTTTATTACTGAGCAACATCCCTAGTCCCCACCCTCTTTGTATTTTGACAGGGTTTTTCTAGGTTGCTTAGGTTTGACTTGAACTTGCAACCCTCCTGCCTCAGTTTCCCAGAGTACTGAAATGACAGGTGTGCACCAACACATATAACTAAAGTTTTTGAATTTCTGATGCCATTCAAAGAATATTCTTCACCTCATTTTTTTTTTTCCTTTTTTGGCAGAACCGGGGATTGAACTCAGGCCCTTGCGCTTGCCAGGAAAGCGTTTATTCCACTGAGCCATCTCCCTAGCCCCCTTCACTTCAATTTGAAAGTTATTAGAAAAAAATTTCAGAGCCCTTTGTTTCTGCTGTAAGTCAACACACCATAGACATGAAGGAAAGGTACAACTGTCATTCAGTAGCTGCTAATTAGTGACTCTAGAATTGTGCTTGACTTTGAATCTGAAATCTGTGGCCTGGAGCAAATCATTTTAGCTAGGAAGCTTAACCATTTGATGTAACACAAAACAGGGTTTATTGAACACAGATTGTCCAGTGGTTGCTTTATTCCCTGGTTTTTGTTAGGGCTCTTGACAAAGTGACTCAGAAAACAAACTGCTAATGTCTGACGAGGGGCAAATTAAAAGCTTCATGCCTCTACTGAGAAGTCTGACAGTAGGACTGTGATTGCCAGTTTTGTGAGCTGTTTACCTTACATACTGATTAAGATCAGTATCAGAAGGGTGACATCTTAATGATGTATACAAATTCAACAAAATACCCTTCCTGTTCTAATGTATTGTAACTTTGGATTATTTCTTTTGCTCCAGTCTCTTTTGAGCCTCCAACATTGCAAGTGACTGATTTCTAGGAAAATAAAATTTTCGTATCCATTTGGTCTCTCAATAACATGAACTATTAATAGATCTATAAATTCAATAGGAACTGAGATCACAGCATAGTTCAATTAATAATATTTGAAGCCAGGCATGGTAGCACATGCTTGTAATCCCAGAACTCAGAAGGCTGATACAGAATTGCTGCAAACTCAAGCCCATCCTGGGCTACAAAGTGAGTTCAAGGCCAGCTTAAACTGCAGAGTGAGACCTTGTCTGTCTGTCTGTCATTCATATATATATATATATATATATATATATATATATATGCTTAAAAAGGCAAAGGAAAGGCCAGACTCATAAAAATATGTCTACAAGGCATACAGTTAATTTGTCATGGTAACTTCTCTTTTCTGAGGGTTGATTTAATTTTCTAACTTCTGTTTTGCAGGAAACCTGAATCAGTGTCTTAGTTCCGAAGAAGTCAATAATATTCCAATTCCATGAGGCAGCTCCCATACGGGTTTATAACCTACCTACTTCCCATCGTTAGGGTGACCAGCACTTTCTATATGAAATGACTATTGATAAAACATTCATATCCTAATGCTCATTGCTTAACTACTTTCTGCAAGTAGGTTCAACTAAGCATAATTTTTTAACTCATAGTGACAAAGGATTAAGGAAAACTCAGCTGTAATAAATTCTTTTTAACATCCCACCCTTTTATGGTGCTAGGAACTGAACCCAGAACCTCCTCCATGCTAGGCAAGTACTCTAAAACCAAGTTACACCCCCAGCCCTGTGAGATCTTAAGCCTATCCATTTACCTTCCACAGTAGCTCCAGTGGGGGAGAAAGGTCAGCTGTTTATCAGTTAACTGCCTACTCTTCTATTACTGAATAAGAGGAGGCACTGTTCCTCTTTTCTTCTTTTGTTTGCTCCTTATTGAATACTAAATATCGAATACACTCTTTACCCATTGTGTATGTGTGTGGGTAAAATAGGGTCTTGCTAAACAGTTTAGGCTAGCCTTGAACTTGTGGTGATCATCCTGCCTCAGCCTCCCAAGTACTGGGATTACAAGCCATGCATCACCATGTTGGCACTTCACCCATTATTCTCCAAACTTAATGCCTTGGAAAAAATGCCCAAGTCCTCTACCACTAAAAAGTCTATAAGAAGGAGTTAGGGGTGCTCCATGGTAGAGTACCTGTCTAGCATGGCTGAGGCCTGGGTGCGATCCCCAGGGCCAATAAAAAGAAAAGTGCACAAATTCAGACAGCTGGGTGTGGCAATGCATACCTATAATTCCAGCTAATGAACAGGATGAGGTAGAAGGCCCACAAGTTCAAGGCCAGCCTGGGCAACTCAGCAAGACCTTGCCTAAAATAAATAATGCTGGAGATACTGCTCAGTGTTCCCCGGGTTTAAGCCCTAGTACCAGCGAAAAAAAGAATGACCAGGATATTCTCTAAATATGGTCCACTGTAAATAATGAAGTTATGTAGGGCTAGTGGGCCTATATTTAAGGGGAAAGGCCCAATTTTCAGAAAATGCAATGGAGAAAAGTCCACATTAAAAGTCTGTTGACTTGTTCCCAGTTTAAAAAACAAAAGACCCCTCTCTACCATACAAGTCTAGCAGCGCATCTGCCATGGGTGGCTCTGATTCCTCATCAGTGACTGGCCATGAAGGCAGGGCCATACATCTAGGCATGGAGCATGGGAAGGAGCTGATGGCAGTGGTAGAAGCAGAAAGGAGAAAAATGCCCACCACTGCAGATGTGTGATGCCATGGCGATTTTGACAGCAACACTGAGAAATGGAAGAGTCCTTTGCAGGCCCATAGGGGTCTCCTCCTTTGGGTCCTCAGAGATTATGTTTAATGGGCAGAGCATGGGTTACCTGAGAACCACAATGAGAAGCTAGGAATGAAAATTCTACTTTCTCTCCTGCAAATTCAGGCAGGGCAATATTGGAGCAAGTAATGTTTCTTTTCAGGGAAGCCCAGTCCTTTCAATTAACAAGAAACTGCAAAAACAAACCACCCTTAAGTCTTATTCCAGGTGATCTAATGTAAGCTTATATAAGAAAAAAAAAATTAAGCCCACAAAACTTGCATAATGATAATGCATACCATATAGACAGTGGCTTTATAATACAAAACTCTTTAATATGGCCTCTCTTTAACTTCATGATGGCCCATGAGTTGGGGAGAAGCAGGCTTTACAAATGGGTTAAGGAGCCACCTCAGGCAAAGGCAAACAGTAATAGAACCAGGGCCAACCTTAATGTCTCAGACATTTCTGTAACATAGACATGATGTAGCAAAACTAATTTGTATCTACAATCACCTATCATGTGCAAGGCCCTAGGTTCCATCTCAAGTACTGCAAAAAAATAAATTAAAAAAAAAAAATCATCCTTAAGGCTGGCCAAATAGCTCAGCAGATTAAAGTGCCTGCTTAGGCAGATGCAAGGGCCAGGAGTTCCACCCCCAGGCCTGCCAAGCCAACCCTGCCCCTGGGTCTTGCTGAGCAAGCGATTTGAGACTGGGCATGGTGGCGTGCCTGTAATTCTAGTACTTGGGAGGCTGTAAACAGGAGGATGACTATGAGTCAAATCTACACAGTGAGACCCTGTACCCCTTGTATACCCTATCCTAAATACAAAACAAACAAACAAACAAACAAACAAATCATCTTTAGTCCATTGTCCTTACAATTTTGCCTTTTTTTTTTTTTGGTTCTAGGTTGTGCTTCCCAGGAGCCAGAACACAATGACAGTGTCCTTAGCCTACGTGACAGGGATCAATTGGCCCCACAGATAGGGGTGGTTGCCATCAGCACTGCCAGACAGTTATGTGCTGCAACCAGCCCACATTCGGCTCAGCTAGACAGTTTGGTTTAGTCTAAGACAGGCATTTCTTCAGGGAGAGCGTGAGATGTCCCCTCCCTTGGTGACAGAATGAGGAATGGTCACTGAAGACTGCTCTGATTCACAATGCAGTCTTACCTGCAGCTGCTCCTGCTGAAATCTGCTGCCAGATGGTATTGTGCTATGCAGGTAATTAGACAGACACCCCGAAAAATTAAAATGTGTAAATATCTTCTGAATTACATACAAGTCATCAAATATTAAGTGTAACTTAAAAACAAAAAAACCTAGCAAGCTCACAAGAGGACTTTCTTTCAAAACTATAATCTAAATACTAAAGCTCCCAGCCAAGGGAAACACAGGCAGGGTCCACACACACACAAAGGCCAGTGTGTACCTGAGTCACGTGGCTAAGTCAGGTTTGTCATTAGAGCCACACCACACAGTCACAACAAAACGCTAACTGCACATCTGGTAACTCAAATCCACTCTCATCTTTCAAGAGGAACCACAAACATGATAATAAAACACCTCTCTTACCTTTGAAGGCTGATGAATTTTAATCTCCTGGGAATCAGATGCAGAGTCAGACTTTGTACCTCCAGAATTTGGCTTCTCCTTTTTTCTCTTCTGTTTCTTCTTTTTCTTTTTGGCTCCCAAATCCCCTCCAGGACTTCTGTAAGAAATGCAAGGAGGGTAAAAAAAAAAAAAAAAAAAAATCGCAGAGCAAAGTCATTATGTGAAATCCAGTTGCAGAAAATTAATAATGCTATACACATGCTATCCACAGTATAAAATGACTATTCAGATATAAGTAGGGAATTAATAGTAGATTACAGAGTCAAGGCAGGAAAATATGGTTGATACTCAGTCACAATGCAGACGTTAGCAGCCATGGACTTAGGACAACTGTAACTATAAATGACATTTTCTAACTGAAATCAAAGAGCTTTCATAGATTATTACTTTACAGTTTACTTTTTATTCAGTCTTTTAAGGGAGATACTTGGGGACAACAAATCACTAATTATTTTTTAAGTGCTGGTCAGAAAATTCAAGGTTCACACAGGCCAGGCAAGAGTACTGTCTCTAAACTAACTTGTAATCCCAAATCAGTAATCTTAAAGCAACAGAAACCAAAGAAACTGCTTTTTTTGCAGATAAGGAAATTTCTCCTGATAAAGGCTTTTACTAGGAAGACAAACAATAAAAAACCTTAAGTAACAAAAACATTAACTGGTAAAATGTTCAGTTTGGAACCCTTGTCCTTCCATGGCTATTGTTTTCTGAAAGGAAAAAAGGAAAAAGACAAGAAGATTTAAAATTTTCATTTATTGGGTTTCACTCCACCACAGAATTTCCAGAAGGTATATTAAAAGCTAGTATCAGAAATTATTTTTTTGGTACCAGGACCCTGAGCTTGCCAGGCACGCACTTGTGCCACTGAGCTATATCTGGCCCCAAGTGTCAGAAATTATTATATTATGGCTCATGTAAAGAAGTTAAGGGAACAACTGGTTATGATCTATTATAATAAATCATTCAGATGTATCTATACCTACTCATTTTCTTGATTTTTACCTAATTATTATATATACATGCATCACACAAGACTTGAATATCATTAATATATATTACCAACCTTATATTGTCCCACAAAGACAATCAATAGTTTTTCTGGTTATATGATTCCAAAATTGTCTTTTTTCTTTAAGAATATTCTCATTTTCATCAGGAATTCTTTTCTCGTGATCTTTATTTGTTTTAATGGTGCTAGTGGTTGAACATGCTCAACAAGCACTCTATACTAGCTTTTCTAAACAAAAACTAAACATTACTTTTGGTACCGGGAATCGGACTCACGTTTGCCAGACAGGCACTGTGCCACTGATCTGTATCCCTGTGACATTTTCAAATATGCATTTTTCCTTCCATTCACATATCATGGGATTCTTACCACATTAAGATATATTAAGTTGCCTCATTTCTCTTCACCTATTGTGTAGCATTCAAGATATACCACATTTTATTGACCCTTTCCTATGTTAACAGAGCTGCTGAAAATACTTTAGACACTGACATTCTTCTGCATTCAAGCTGGTAAGTCCAAAGATAGAAATGCTAGGTCAAAGGGCATGCACATCTTTAGTCATATTAACGAAGGCTCTTTCCTCAATAGTGTACAAACATCTGAACTAACTGTAAGAACCCTGATCATCAGAGTCCTTCACCCTTGTGTAATTCTGCTATTTCTGTTTTCAGGGCACTTCTCATCTTTACTTCCTGGCTAACTGCGAGTCATTCAAAGTCCAGGCCAAGCATCACCTCCTTGGAGAAACCCTGCTGTTCTTCTCTGCTTCCTACTAGGGGCCCCTAACGCAGTACTCTTGCTGCCTTCTAAGCACCCTTCCCTCCAGCGCGCAATACTTGGAGCTCTCTGATTCCCCCTGGAACAGACATCCAGTGCTCACTGGTTTCCCCAGCCTCCTCGGGCAGTATGGAGGGTACCATGTAGGACACTTGGCCAGCCAAGCCTGGGGAGGTGAGCTGCTTTTGCCAGCAGGATATGATGGGTTCCTCCGAGATGATGCCAGTTAGGATCTGGTCCATGTTCTTTCAGGGCTCATGAGAATACCCTCCACTCATTAATGCCATTCAGCATTCACCATAAAATGCTAATTACACATCTGGTGTCCAGACCCACTCTCATCTTTGTGAGGAATCACAGAGGTGACAATAAAACAGGCCTCTTACCTTTGAAGGCTGGTGAACTTTCATCCCTGTGTTAAAGTAAAAAATTAGAGCCAGGTGTGGTGATGCACACCTGTAAGCACAGTACTTTGTGTGGACAGGCAGTCAGACTGCAAACTCAAGTTTAGCCTAGGCAACTAACAACTTAGTAAGATTATTTGAAAAAAAATAAAAAATAAAAGAGGGTTGGAGATGTAAGTCAGTGTGAAGACCCTGGATCCAATCCCCAATACCAAAAAAAGAAAAAAAAAAAAAAAAGTATATAAACTTCTAATTTAAAATGTGTAATCTATTCCTCTGTAAAGTTCAAATATGAAATGTACATTCAACAGTAAGAGAAACTGCTGGAGAAATGAGCATTTTTGATTCATATTTTACTGTTCCTAATCCTAAAATAGAAAGCAGAGCTCCTTTTTAGAGATACATTAAAACCTGTCAAGTGCCACCCTAGTGATCTAAAAATATTAATGTAAACCCACCCCAAAATAAGCAGTAGAATCAAGTGTTACTGTCACGATGATTATATTTTAGAATCTCCTGGTGACTAAAGAAGCCCATAAATATATAACAATCAGGCATAAACAAACACATCTCAGCCAAGTAACAGAGGTAGAAATATGCTGTGGATGTGTATGGTTTTGTGTATTCCGTGATCTGGGAACAAAAATGTTTTCAGGCTTTTCTGCCACAATGTTCCCAAGGCTGGCACCTTAAAAGATAATTTTGCTGTATTTTTTTTCCTGTAATTTTATTGAGAAACAAATAGTAATGAGACAGTTTCAAACCAAATTGGTAGGACAGTTTCAATAATTAACACATTGCATACTGTCTTCCTAGTGGTTATTTGTTGTACAAGATGTGGACATGATATCCTATTTACAAACACTATTAGAACAAATCCCTCTATTCATTAATTAAGAGAATGTAGCAATATATCTATCCTAACCAATTGGAATACACAGATACAAAATGGTCATTTATCTATATCCCCTTTTTCTGTTTACTTCTGTCATTTAAATATTATATGTGTGTAAACTCAGCAAAATATTCCAAAATAGTCCAGTAGTCCATAATAGTATTGGGTCTTCTGCTTGATTGGCAATGTCAGAAGTTGTTGACCTGAGTCCCCTACAGCTCAACATAACAACATGGCTTTACTTCTTATACTTAATTTTTATACTTTTCTGCTGGATGATTTTGCTGTATTTTTATTTCATGATTTAGGCATGCATTTATAGGTGAACATTACAGGAAAAAATCTATCCACACTTGGACCATTGCAGTCTCTAGTGCCTCGCACTAGTAGATATTAATGCCGCCTGATTGTTGAATGAATGCACGGATGATTCTGGCTCTGGAGGTGGCTCTAATCATAGGTTGTCAGGCAATAAGACAGCTCTGAGAGCTACGATTTCCCCACCTTGATGGGAAACCCTATGGCAGTGCTTCATCAAGTGCTTACTGCCCATCTCTGCACACTCAGCACCATGTAAGCTGCTCAGGAAGGCTATGTCATAGAGGATACCCCATAGCTCCACAGTCCAGCGAGCTCTCTCTCTCTTGCCTGCCTTACTTCACTGTTGCTGGTTAAGTCTTTTCTAGAAACTGCTAGAGCCAACAGCCTCACAGCTTCTACGTATATTACCCAGTTTTAAACATCCCCAATTCCCAAGTTTTCTCAGAGGGCTACAGAATGGAAGGTGTGGCTGGCGTGGGAACTGAAGACACAGACAGGCCAGGCCAAGCAGAACTTTCTCCTCCCTCAGGAGGCAATGTGGAAATGCTGTCCAGTGTGGGTTCACTTTCTCTAAAGCACAGAAATAGACCATGGAAGTAGGAGTAGATATAAATGTGCTAAAAAATAAAAACACTGGACCTTAATTCCCTAAATAAGTTCATAAGATCTAGTATATTATTTCTATGCCACTTGTGCAATGAAGTTTGTCATTATTACATTTTGGGGGTTCATACTATTCACCAAAACTCTTTCTTCCACAACTTAACTGCAAAAATTATACTTTATTATTTTGATATAATAGAAAATCTATACTCATTTTTGTTAACTCTTGTTCTAGTTTCTCAACACTTTCTCATCTGAGCATTAAGAGTAAACTGAGTTTGTACTAATAATGTTTGAACAATTAAATGCCTATATCTTGGACCCTGAGTAACTAATTTAAAGATAACAATACACAATGTATTAACTATGATCTTGCTTTGAAATTTTTTTCTCTTTAAAATAAAAACATTAAAAATTAAAAAAAAATTGTCAGGGAGCTTCAAAACTCAGCACTAAATGAGATACCCTTTCTCATACTTTTCCATTTCTTAGGAGCCTTAACCTAGTTAACCAGCTCCTTAAGGAACTGGGAGCAAGCTTGGGAAAGCATCCCATTTCACATTGCTAGGCTAACTACAATCAGGAAGATAATAAAAAGTGCTGGAGAGGCTAAAGAGAAATGAGAACCTTCACATACTACTAGTAGGAATTAAAAAAATGGTGGAGTCATTTCAGAAAACAATTCTGGCCATGCCATGCCTCAGAACATGAGACATAAATTCCCTAAATGGTATAATTCCTAGGTAGATAACTAAAGAGAAATATAAACATCTACTTAGAAAGTTACATAACACCATTCACAGTGGCCTTATTTCTAATAGCTGCCAAGTGAGAACAATCCCAATGTTTGTCAACTGATGAATGGATAAAGAAAATGTATATCTGTGCCGTAGAATATTATTCTGCACTAAAAATATTTATGTATACAATAAGGATGAATTTGAATATATACTACGCAATAGAGGTCAGGTAAAGGACCACATATTATATACAATAAATAAACAGGCTCAATCAGAGAATCAGAAAGGAGGCTGAGCAGCTGAAAAATCTGGAAGGGGAATGATAGCTTGCATTCAAGTTTCCTT